GATTCTTAGCATTGCTTCCGTGCACAAGTGTGTTACAACCCAAGTTGATTCATCTCTACCTGACCTTTTCTCTAGTTCCTGATCCCCTTCCCATATTGACCTATGTTGCTTTAAGGTTTCTGTATTAGCTCCTGTGCAGTGGGAACATCAAACACTTTCATGTTTTGGGTTTCCTACTTATCCCCATACCTCCTGGATGTGCTCTCACCTTGTCATGTGACTCAAGTCCAACAACATTGCTGTATTTGTCCTAGATCTCAAGTCCGCATATGAGGGAGAACATACGATTTTTGGTCTTCTGAGCCTGGCTAACCTCACTCAAGATAATGTTCTCCAGTTCCATACATTTACTTGAGAATGATAAGATTTCATTCTTCTTCATGGCTGAGTAAAATTCCATTGTGCAAAAAACACATGAAAAAATGCTCACCATCTCTAGCAATAAAGGAAATGCAAATTAAAACCACACTAAGATTCCACCTCACCCCTGTCAGAATAGCCATCATCAGCAACACCACCAAAAACAGGTGTTGGCGAGGATGTGGGGAAAAAGGAGCCCTCTTACACTGCTGGTGGGAATGCAAGATAGTACAACCACTCTGGAAAACAATATGGAGGCTTCTTAAAAATCTAAACATAGATCTGCATATGATACAGCAATCACACTCCTGGGGATATACCCAAAGAAATGAAACACAGGTTACTCCAGAGGCACCTGCACACCCATGTTTATTGCGGCACTATTCACAATAGCCAAGTTATGGAAACAGCCAAGATGCCCCACCACTGACAAATGGATTAAGAAAATGTGGTATCTATACACAATGGAATTTTATGCAGCCATGAAGAAGAACGAAATGTTATCATTCACTGGCAAATGGATGGAATTGGAGAACATCATTCTGAGTGAGGTTAGCCTGGCCCAAAAGACCAAAAATCGTATGTTCTCCCTCATATGCGGACATTAGATCAAGGGCAAACACAAAAGGGGATTGAACTTTGATTACAAGATAAAAACGAGAGCACACAAGGTAGATATGAGGATAGGTAAGACACCTAAAAAACTAGATAGCATTTGTTCCCCTCAATGCAGAGAAACTAAAGCAGATACTTTAAAAGCAACTGAGGCCAATAAGAGAAGGGGACCAGGAACTAGAGAAAAGGTGAGATCAAAAAGAATTAACCTAGAAGGTAACACACATGCACGGAAAATTAATGTGAGTCAACTCCCTGTATAGCTATCCTTATCTCAACTAGCAAAAACCCTTGTTCCTTCCTATTATTGCTTATACTCTCTCTACAACAAAATTAGAGATAAGGGCAAAATAGTTTCTGCCGGGTATTGAAGGGGTGGGGGTAAAGGGAGGGGACGGGATGGGTGGTAAGGGAAGGGGTTGAGGAAGGGGGGAGAAATGACCCAAACATTGTATACACATATGAATAAAAAAAAAAACTCCATTGTGTATAAATACCACATTTTCTTAATCCATTCGTTAGTAGTGGGGCATCTTGACTGTTTCCATAACTTGGCTATTGTGAATAGTGCTGCAATAAACATGGGTGTGCAGGTGCCTCTGGAGTAACCTGTGTTTCCTTTCTTTGGGTTTATCCCCAGGAGTGTGATTGCTGGATCATATGCAGATCTATGTTTAGATTTTTAAGAAGCCTCCATATTGTTTTCCAGAGTGGTTGTACTATCTTGCATTCCCACCAGCAGTGTGAGAGGGTTCCTTTTTCCCCACATCCTCGCCAACACCTGTTGTTAGTGGTGTTGCTGATGATGGCTATTCTGACAGGGGTGAGGTGGAATCTTAGTGTGGTTTTAATTTGCATTTCCTTTATTGCTAGAGATGGTGAGCCTTTTTCATGTGTTTTTTGGCCATTTGAATTTCTTCTTTTGAGAAAGTTCTGTTTAGTTCACTTGCCCATTTCTTTATTGGTTCATTGATTTTGGGAGAGTTTAGTTTTTTGAGTTCCCTATATATTCTGATTATAAGTCCTTTGTCTGATGTATAGCTAGCAAATATTTTCTCCCACTCTGTGGGTGATCTCTTCAGTTTAGAGACCATTTCTTTTGTTGTGCAGAAGCTTTTAATTTTATGTAGTCCCATTTCTCCATCCTTTTTCTTAGTTGATGAGCTGCTGGGGTTCTATTGAGGAAGTCTTTGCCTATACTTATTTCTTTCCAAGTATTCCCTGCTCTTTACTGTACTAACATCAGAGTTTTGGGTCTGATGTTAAGGTCCTTGGTCCATTTTGAGTTGATACTAGTATAGGGTGATAAACATGGATCTAGTTTCGGTTTTTTGCAGATGGATAACCACTTTTCCCAGCCACATTTGTTGAAGAGGCTGTCTTTTTTCCATTGTATGTTTTTGACAGCTGCCCCTCTTGCTGTGACGTGGGTCAATCTACTTGTCCACACTCCCCACCATTCCCTATTGCCTCCCAACACTGGGCATGCTTCTCTCATTTCCCTGAACCCTGAAGAGATTTGGGTTTACAGACTTGGGTCTTAAAGCAGACCCGCATTTTCTCTGTCCTGAACAAGCAGAGTCAGCCCAAGTCTTACTGGGTTCTGGGCCTCCTCCCTCTGTCCTCACAAGTTAGTCTTCGTGATTTCTTTTTATTCACTCAACAAGCACTGTAGAGTTTCTAGGTGTGCCAAGTGAGCACTAGGACTTGAAACTATAGCAGCGAGGAGGCTCTTGCCCTCAGGAAACTGACAGTGTAATGGAGACATGGATGCACAGGCAGACCCTGAGAACCAGCATGGAAGTGATGTGGTAGAGGTCACTAGAAGTGGGATATGGGAGAGGATGGCCAGAAGTCCAGAGTCCCCAGGGTCAGGAGATAGAGTTAGAAGAGACTTGAACACAGTGTTGTTAAAACTGCACCATGTATAGCAGCAGGATCAACCAGGCCAAACCATGATCTAAGTTTTTCCAGCAGAGGCCAACGGCCTGTGCAAAGGCCCAGGCCATGTGGGAAGAGCAGAGAGCAATTAGGAATGATTGGAATGCAGGGGTCAAGAGGAGGCCTGGTGCCAGCTGTGCCAACCCATTGTGATTCCCGGGACACAACGCATGGTTTCACACCCTTCTGTCTTTGCTGTTCCCTCTTCCCCTTTTTTCTGGCCTGAAAAACTAACCATTGTTCTAGATTGTCTTCAGATGTCCTCCATGCACTCAGTGAAGTTTCTCTGGTACCCAGTAGCCACACTCATACCTTGGCTGCTCTCCTCCCAGCACCAACAGGTGTCATCCAGGGAACAGAAAGAGAGGCAAGGGCCCTTGTCCTTTGAACTGAAAAAGCCCATGGTGACTCACTGCCCCTTCTCAATCTTTAGTTAAGTAAGAAATGGGACGTCTAGTGAGGCTGCACCTGCCCGAGGCCTCAGAGCGCAGTAGGCTGAGAATGAGGACCAGTTTCCCTTTGCAGGGCTTCTGGGAGACTTGAAAGGAATGGATTTCACTCAAAGTCAGTGAAAGTGGCAGCTTCTCAATGCTAGTCAAAGTGATAACAAGAAACGAGGTTCAGCGGGCTATAGTGGATTATAAGATTACACCTGTGATCCCAGCTATTTTGGAGACTGAGGAAAGAGGATTGCAAGTTCAAGGGTAGCTTGAGAAACTTTCCAAGACCCTGTCTCAAAATGAAAAAATAAGAAGGGCTAGGGATGTGCCTCAGTAAGAAAGCACCAGGCCCTGAGTTCCATCCTCAGCATGAGAAGGAGAGAGACAGCGAGAGAGAGAGACAGATGAAGCCCAAAGAACAGGCTACCTGGATTCTCCCCCTGCATGGGCCATTTGTCGTTTAGCCTGTGGATCTGAACTAGGTGTGCTTTTGCACACACACACACGTGCACACATGTGCACACACATGTATCCCGCATTCAGCACCACGGGTTGGAGGTGCTGCTGTCAGGATTGCTGGTAAACATCCTAGAGTCCACAAGAAGCCCCCACAGCAGAACACTTTCTAACCACAAATGTCAATCATGTGAGGCTGACAAGCCAAGTAGGGGCAAGCCTGGTGTCACCCAGGGCATCTTTCTGAACAGATTGAATCACACATGCTTCCATGAGGACTGATTTTTGTGGCTTTCAGACTGATGAAGTTTCCAGACAATGACACACTGACAGGCCTGACTGCATAACTGTCAACATGATGAAGAAAGACAAAACTCTTGTGACGGTTTCAGATGACCTACATGCTTTCTAACCCTGGGGGAAATATGAACATGAGTCTTTAAGGAATGGGTCTGTGGCCATCCTGGGGTTCCAACTCCTGTTTGTGTGTCTCCATTGACCAAGGCTTCACTGTGTGCACCATGATGAAGTACTAGCTGTGGTGGCCACGTGTGAATATAGGTATGGGTCCCCTCCACCATTGTACCTCCAAGTAACATTGTTCAAAGTGAGGTGTCTAGTCTATCAGCTTCAAAAGCATGTGAGCAGCTTGTTAAAAATGCCTATTTATGAATGTCACTCCAGACTGACTGGATTAGACTTGAATGAGAGCTCAGGGATCAGAATGCTTACTGAGCCTGAATCCCAGGTGATGCTGATGCTAAGAGTTGAGGAGGATTCCTGACCCGAATTACAAACTTCTTGGGTACCAAGCTCCCCTCCACACTTTCACTTCTTTCTGCCAGATCTTTAAGAAACTCCAAAACAAACATGCAGTCTAAATAAGCAATGACATATGCAATGACAGCTTTAACTTCCCCAATCTCTCCGTTTCCAAATCTCTCCATCCCCAACCAGGATGCCACGGTTAAAGCCAGCCACAGTGAAACACCACAGCTACCCCACCCATCCCTTTATTTCCTAAGTTCTGCCTAAACTTAGCATGCTGTCGGTGACAGAAAAAATGTGAATGGAATTGGATTTTTGGGCATCCTCACTGTCTTTCTGTTGTCATCTCTGAGCCTAAGCCCTTTGAGTGGGCTAAGTGACTTTGTTTGTGCTGACCATGCCTTCTCTCCTTATTTGCAGTGGGCCATGCTCTGGATACCCCACATGTTCCACAGGAGTTGCCTTCCGGACTCTCAAAAAACATCAGTAAGGATGCTTTGTCCTTTTCTTGGAAGCTGGGTAGAAAGGTGTCCAGGATAATGTCTGAGGAAATGGCCCCTCTGAGAGACACTTTTTGCTGTGGCATTTATAAGTAAAATTATTCAAATGGGATTCCAAAGCATTTCTGCAGAGGCTTTCCCTGTTGGCTGAGCCTCCAGTGTTCTCTCTTGAGACACAGTTCAGCTGAAAGGGAAACCAGGAAAGCAAGTAAGTGGGCTGATTTGAGCATTATGCGATCACTGTCTCAGCTGGAAAATGTACTCTGAGCTTCCTAATAGACAGAAGGGAAGGCTAGTTGGTGCTCTGAAGTGCTCTTGTTATAGGAAAAGAAGTTCTGTATTTGTTCCTTGGAGAAGGGGAAGTTGTCTTGGCGAGGGATTGTCAAGGAGGATCCTTACATGGACATTGCTACAGATCAAAATGCACAGTGAACCAGCTGGTGACATCAGGACATCAACCCCAAATCAAGACTTCACTTCCAACCTTTCAGAGAGGGGAGTTGAATCAACCAAATTATTTGTTCATGAGCCCATACGAACAAAGTGATCAGTCTCACTCAGATCCATATGACAAATGGCATGACTCTTGTAAAAATGCAATGTCTACTAAATGTCTTCAAGTAGTCATTTAAACTCAAAGACCATAAGTCACTTAGCAAGATGGAGGCTGAGAAGCACCACTTACCAGCAGGCCACACCAGCAACATTTCCTCAGCAGGAGGGGCCCTTAAGCTATCTATACAATAGTCCAGGAGACCCTGTGTCAGAGGAGAGACAAAGGGACATGTTTCATAGGGAGCACCCACAGACTAGTTCTGGACAGGAAACTTCATTCTCCACAGGAATCGGTATTTCTAGCAATAATCCATAACAGAATATCTAGAATGTCCAGCAGAATATGCCCTGTTACAAGAGTAAGCACACTGACAGGGACCCAAGATGATGACTTCTCTCCACATAGTTACTGTCCACAGTTACTCTCAGTCTGGACCCACCTTACCATCCAGGGATCATTTTTACCACTGAGCAAAGTTACCTATTAATACAATTCACAGTTCATCTTTATCAAGTTTCCATGGCTAACTTGTGGTTGCTGAAAAGTTAGCCTAAGGTCAAATTTATCCCTGGGAGAAAAGGTGTGACCTCCCTGGACAAGGAGCAGGAAATGGAAAAAAGTCAAAACTCTTTAATTTGTTTTCTCTTTCTTCCTTTCCATTCAGATAGCACATTCTTCAGTGGGGTATTAAAAAATTCAGAAAGTGTGGCTGAAATTTTTGGTAAGTTAAATCTGAAATTGCTTTTATCCACCACTATCAGGGATGGAGTGTGTTTAGGAAATATGAGGTCTTGCCTCTGAGTGCCCCGAGCCTCCCCAACTGGTTGGCAATAGTAATTAGGTTCCAACAAGGCTAGCAAAGCAGTACTGTTTGTGTCAGGTGAGTCAAGTTGCCCTGTGCCTTCATATTCTTCACCATGTTGTTCTGACTACAAACTTGCCAAGAAAGGAATGGTATCCCCATTTTATAGGTGAGGAAACTGAGCCTAAGGGAGTTAAGTGACTTGCCCAAGGTCACATAGTTATTAGGGAGACATTCTTCTCTGAGTGGATCGTAAGGAGGATCCTTACATGAATATTGCTAGAGATCACAATACACAGTGAACCAGCTGATGACATCAGCCCTGAATCAAGAGTGCACTTCCAACCTTTCAGAGAGGGGAGTTGAATCAACCAAATTATTTGTCCATGAGCCCATGCACAGTGATGAGTCTCTCTCAGATCCAAATGACAAATGACCTCTCTCCAAGTGGCCCTTGGAGAGGGCCTTGGAGAAATGAGTCCTCTATATCAAAGTAATTTTATTTTTCCTCCCCATCTAGTAAATATATAAAGCCTATGGATTTCTAAAGTTTTTAGGCATTCCAGTTGTCAGCTCCATGCCTATTATACAACTACTGCATACCTATGACACAACTACTGGGGAACCATGATGGCTCCTACCATCAATTATTAACAGTATCACAGTACACTATGATTGACCTATATAAAGACACTGGGAGCCACTCTTGGGCCTGATACTGCTCTTAAATGTGTATATGACTAAGTGCACTTGCCTGGAAGTTTTGAATGAAGATGCATATTTATATAAATACACATGCAAACTTTAGAAAGGATTTTTTCATCACCATTGAATCATTTATTCATTCATTTTTTCTGTCAAGTCCATGTGGGAAAAAAAAAAACGTGGGAAAGAAGTTTGCATGAGGTGGGAAGAAACTAGAACAGTCCAGTGGACCTGGTCCTCATAAATTACTCTTTGATCCCCCTCAAGTTCCTTCTTGTGACCCTGTGCATTCTAAGTCAGCGATGTGGGGTCACCTCCTATAGCATTTAGTTGTCCTCTAATCAGAAAGGCAGAGAAGATTGGGAGGCAAGCATGAGTCAGAAATGAGCAATATTGTTCCCTTGACAATCTTGTTTGCTATATACTTTAGGGCAAATCATTATCCCTGGTTGGTCCCTTGGACAATGTACCTGACCTTTTGTGTAATAACCTATGAAGTGGAGGCAACAGGATAGTATCCACCTGGCAATATGAAAAGGGAGTTTATAGCAAAGTAGAGAAAATGAATGCTCTCTACTTTAATATACACTCTATGGATCTTAACTATTGTGGTATTAAAACTATTTAGTGTAGTTTTGGCACATAATACATGCTCAAAAATTGTGTGTCTATCCCCCTTTTCTTCATTTACTGCCTTTCAATGGTATAGAGTCAGCACTGTGCCATTTGAGATCCAGCACACCAATAGTGCATCGAATCATACAGACATTTCATTATTTAACACAAAAAAATGGTCTGAAGGTACCATGATTGGTGCAGCAGCTCATCACTGAGATAACAGACCCAGCAGTATTGCTCTGTTTTGTACCACTGCTATTCTGAGCATATTGTTGTTGTTGTTTTTTTATTTTATTTTTTAAATAGACATCCTGCTAAGGTTTTGGCCAGATTCAGACCACATTGGCAAGGAAACATGGGATTATCACAACCAGGAGACAATGATCTTGACTCCTCCCAGAAACTTAGGGGAAGGCTCACCTTCCTTAAGAAGTTTTCAGCTTTGTTCGTAAGGAAGAAGTAAATATTTAGTAGTTAGGCAATGAACAGGGACCATGGCTTATTGTCTGGAACAGTCCTGAATATACAGTAGGTGCTTACTATGTTGATGAGACACCCTTAGCCCAAGATATAGGAAGTCCAGTGAATGAGACACTCTCTTCCACTCTGCTTCCCAGTGCCCGTCAGTCCCTGTCTCTCTCTCACAGACTGCCTGGGCTCCCACTTCACCTGGCTGCAGGCTGTCTTCACCAATTTCCCTCTGCTGCTCCAGTTTGTGAACAGCATGAAGTGTGTGGCTGGTTTTTGCCCCCGAGACTTTGAAGACTATGGCTGTGCCTGCAGGTTTGAAATGGAAGGGCTGCCAGTAGATGAGTCTGACAGGTGAGTAGGATGCACAGATGAGCTCATGAGGGGGCCTGGTGATACCCTGTACAGAGCACAAGCATGGAAAGTACCCTGGAGTAGACACCAGAGGTTGGATTTTATTGCCTACCAGTAGGTACCTGGCTTCCTCTTCTTTATAGTATAACTTGTGATCTGCTCTTACTATGAGCTGCTATCAAGAATCTGTGTGGGGCCAATGTGCAAACCTGAATTGCAGTGTTTCTTGAAGTTTGGGCCACCTGCATCAAAAACAGCTGAGTGTTTGCTATGATGCTGATTTATGGACCCACCCAAACCTTTAGGTAGAGCTGGGAACCCTGAATTTTAAACAAGCTCCCCACATAACGTTCCTACATAATAAATTTTGAGAACTATTTTTTATTTGGAGTTATTATGGCCATCAGAGTTAAATCAACTATGAACATTTCTACTCAATTGTCAAAAAAATATAAGCCAAATAAGGTAAGTGCTTAAGATAAATGGAACACTACTCCTCCTTTAAAGAGGTAAATGCCAAATGAGGAATGTAAGAATGTATAAGTGATCATTAAAGATGTGCTCCTTCTCTACAAACAATACGAGATGCCAAATGGGGGGGTATAAAAGAGAATGATGAAGGGGTGAATTCAACTGTGACATATTATAAGAACATTGGTAAATGTCCCAGTGTAACCCCAGTACAACAATAATAATTAAAAAATGATGCCAAGATTGGCAATAAAGTTTGAAACTTAAAAGCATTAAGTATTAGCAAAGGTGTGACCAACAGGCACAGGAACAGGAGGGCCAATTTGGGAAATTTGGTTCTGGCTGTTAAGACCTTAAGGAATACTGCCTATGACCTGTAATATCCATTCTCTGCTCCTTATTAACTGTGATTTTAGGCACCCCACTGGAATAATCCCTCATTCCAAATCTAGTGTGATAGGGTGTGTGCTTTCCCCTATGCAGGCTCATAGAAGGGAGAGAAGTATTTCCACGGTAACATGTTAGAAAGCTCCTATCTCCCCTGGTATTTCTCCTCAAGTACAGTCTCTTTGTGTCTTCGCTCCTAGGCACCAGGGAAATCTCTGTGCTCCCCAACAGTCTGGGCTTCTTTTCTTGCACCTACTACATAAGCAAGAGTATGTGCACAGGGTATGTGCTCCTGTCCTACTTCCCATCCCCCAAGGAGGGTCTGTATGTTATTCTCTCAGAACTGAACAAAGCCTGCCTGGCACATAGCAGTTCAATAAATTAGCTGATTGACTAGACATACAACTTCCAATCGCTTTTCAGAGATTAAAAATAAATGACATAAAAATTGATATATCCTTGCTTGACAAAGAATAATGACTTCGGAATTAAATAACAAATCTGTCCCACCTCCAGACCAGACCTAAAGGAGAGATTTTATGTTGTCTTTAGACAAAAAAGGCAGTTTCCCATTGTAGGGACCATAAGCAAATCAATTATTTGAGTAGTTAGTTGACATTGGGATGAAGACAGTTTGGTTCTACAGGGGGCTGTTGGGTCAGGACCATTTCTGGGAATATGTTTTCCTTTCAGGTCCACCCTTATTGCCTCCTTTAATTGTTTAACATCTTGTAGACTTAGAAGTCAAAGAAATGAAAAGGTAATTCATCACTGTCTTTTACCTAGAAAGAATGATCAAAGCACCAATGTTCCCAAACTGGGAAAATGGTAGGCTACACCCAATATCAATTAGTTTGAACAGCTCAGTTGATAGGAGTTGGAATTTCCAATCTCTTGGAGGACAGGTTATTTCCACCTCGAACTTGCATACTAGGTTCCAAAAATAATTGCTATTTATTGAGTGCCTCCCATGTGTAGGATCTAAATAGATGTTTTCTTGAATCTAAGAAAATCTTGCTGGGTAGGTACTGTGAAAATGAAGTAGCTTCTCCAGTGTCATCATCTGTCTGTATCATTTTTCTTTACAGTATTCTCCATTAGCCTCCTGTCTGCACTGCAAAAGTCCCCTGACCTAATTGTAGTGCCAGCTTGCTTTGTGACAGCCTTAGCCTTGGAGAATTTAAGGAGCATGAGTCTCAGTATCCATATATGTAAATATTCCTGGTAATAACTGCACCTCTGCACAGCATCTGGGTGAGGGTGTAATCTGGGAATACTCGTCAAGTATTCAGAAAAGGGTGAGACATGGTGGGTACTCAGTCAATGCTAACTGCTATAACAAAAACAGAAATGATCACTGTTGGTATTTCTAAGGAAGGGGGTTTTGATGTCAGGGACGCCTTTGCCTGCAGAGTTCTAGGTCCTGCTCCATCTGCAACTCCCATTATCATTTCCTAGACTACATTTTTCACTTCTCCCCCAAGCCCAGAATCGGGCCCTGACCTGAGACTCACAGGTCACAGCAGGTTCATTGAATGAACATTGAATGTAAAGTGCATAAAACAGTCCATGGAATGCTCAAAAGTCTCAATTATTATTAATGAAATCCCCAAGATTCGGTCTTTTCACAGCAAATAAGGTTATCTTGAAAGGAGGTAAGTTACTTACCCAAGAAAGATCTCTGGCACTTCTTGTAGCCGGTCCTGCTGCAGAGCCCCACTCAGCACTTCCACTGCCCCAGCTTAGAAGTTGCAGGGCTGACAGATCATCTGGGGCCACCACCTCCTGACACAGTGCTCCAGGTGAGAGAAGGACAGTGGAGGGCCTAACACCTCGCATCATGTCACCAGAGGCAGAGGCTCCCAGACTGGGACATGATGTGACTGCTACTCAGGCTCCTCCTCCCCAGCCATTGGGAGCTGCTCTCTGCCCTCCCCCTTCCTTGTCTTCAGTACTGTTGAGTTCTCAATGAATCTAGTTGGAACCTGAGAGCCTCCCACACTCTCCTCAAGAAAGCAGAGTTCTCCATTCACAGTTAATGTTTGGCAGAGAACATAGATTTCCCTGGTTCTTGCCTTTTAATTCTGTTTAAGCAGCTGAATGCCTTATTTTTCCTGAGTTTATCCTATGCCCATATGCCTTGCTGCAGGCCTGATGCTTATTAGGTACTCTGCCCAATAGGTTCCCTGAGTGTACCACTAACCAGCTATGTGACCTCACAGAAGTCACCTTCCCCTCTCTGAGCCCTGAAGTCCTTATTACGTGGTGGTGGGAGAAGCTCCACACTTACCCGAAGCACTACCCTTCATATTCATTTTAATAACATTGCCTGAGATACTCTAAGATATTCTGGCTAGCCAGGTGCCAGTGGCTAACTCTTGTAATCCTGGCTATTCAGGAGGCAGAGATCAGGAGGAACGCGGTTCAAAGCTACCTGGGGCAAAGTAGTTAGTGAGACCCTATCTTGAAAAAGCCCATCAGAGAAAAGGCTGGTGGGAGTGGCTCAAGTGTAGGCCCTGAGTTCAAACCCTGCGTACTGGCAAAAAATATTTTTTTAAATGTTCTGGTTCACTACCAAAGGATGGGCCAGGTCTTAACATCTGATCAGTTTTCTCACCGGAAGGACATGAGGGTTTGTCTTTGCTCTGCCTCCATTTGCTGCCGTAAATTGCAGTCTCAAACATCTGTGATGGATACAAAAGGAGACCAAGGGTTTCTTGTTTTTTATTTTTTTAATACTGAAGCCACCTGTCATTTAAGCTGTCTTGTGCATCTCACTCATGGATTCACATGCAGGTTGGTAGAGGCCTCTTTTGCTGATGATCTGCCTCTTCCTTAAATTTGCTGCATAGCTGCTGGGGTTTGTAACCTTGACACTGATGACTCAAGGGTTGATTTCTTTATTGAGAGGTATTAAGTTACACCCCCACAATGGTGTTGCTGTGTCTTCATGGCTCAATCCAAGCAAGTGATATAGTTGCTTCTGCTACCCCCAGAAAACAGGTATGGGGTAGTGAAGTCATTTCCTGTGCAAGGTCAGTCAGGTCAAAGCTGAAAAGGGACAGCTACTGTTTATGACATTGAGTGGCTCCTCAAATGGTCATGGACAGTAGCCAGGAGTAGCAATTAAAGGAGCATCAAAGACTTCCCCTCTGGGCAAGGACCATATGTGTCTATCTTTGTCTTTCCCACTAAATCCTCAAGCTGAGACCTGGGGCCATGTTGCTTGTGATGGAAACATACATGTTGAGCAGCGGCAATGCAGACCTGTCATCTGAAGCTAGTATGATAGAAGATGTGCATGTGAATTTGTGCATGTGCACACTTGCATGTGTGAATTTGCATGGGCTCGTGTGTGAGCACATGCTGAGTATTTGAAACAGACCAGTACCAGGCACTATCCAGTATGCAAGGTGATCCTGGACTGCCTGCCTCTCCCACCCTAACCCTGGTCTCTCCTACCCCTGCCCTGCTTGCTCCAGCTGCTGCTTCCAGCACCGCAGGTGTTATGAAGATGCCGCTGAGATGGATTGTCTCCAGGACCCTGCTAAGCTCAGTGCAGATGTTGACTGCATCAGCAAGAAAATCACATGCGGTGAGCATCTTCAGGCCTCCTGGGGGCTGAGCCAATGGATGCCAGTTTAGGGACTCAGGCTTGGGCCAGTGGAAGGCTCTCAGGGTCCAACTACATCATCATCATCGCCATTGGTGGTTATCACTGCTGACGCTCAGCCACGTGAAGGCAGAGTTACAACACTTGTACCTGGCACAGAGTAGATGTGCAATAAATGCTTTTTTCAAGTTCAAGAAACGGTTGATCTGAAGATCATCTAATTTATAATTTATATTTGTAGCAATACTGGGAGGGGGTTGTGGAGAACAAGTAGTGGGTAATTTCTTAACTTCTCTAAACCTCAAAATGGGGAGAAGAAAATCTCCCCCAGAGACATGTTACAGAAATTAAATTAGCAATGCTTGTAAGATAGTCAGTGCAGGGACTGGTATATATTAAGTACTCAGTGAGGAACACAGAGGTAGAAGTAGCAATGGATGAGTGTGCCTGTGGTGTTATTTTGTAACTTCAACTCTACCATGTTTACTGTGTGACTCTAGGAATTCTACTTTGTGTCTATGGGCAATTCTGGCAACAGCCAAATAGGCAAAGGAATGGAGGGAAACAGGAACATAGCATGTTAAGGAAGGATAGAGACTGGAGCCAATTTCCAATGCATGCCTATTATACACTACGGCTTTATATATAGAAACTCTGATTTTCCTTTCTAACAACTTTGTTAGATGGGGAACATTGTATGCAGTTTTCAGACAAAGAAAAGAAATCTCAGAGAAATCAAATAACTTACATGAAGTCACAGAGCTGCTCAGTGGCAGTCTGATTGACTCAAAGTCCAGGTAGTGGGTGACTGCAGCTTGGATCATCAGGGAAGGACAGAGAGGGGCTAGGGGTGAAACACAAGTGAAGGTGCCCAGTGAACACAAAATCAGCATCCATCATTCATTCACCAGATTTGTCATGAGCATCTATACCAATGTAGGATAGCCATCTCCATGTAGTGACCTTCTGACCTTCTGGACTGTCATCATGAGGGTCGGAGACTGAGACTACTGAAGACAAGTAATATAGTATGTCAGATGATGACAAGAGCTATAGAGGAAACCAAGCTAGGGAAACTATAAGAAGAGCTGGGCTGGGGTTCCTGCTTAAACAGGAAAGGCTAGAAAAGCCTCCTAGAGTGGATGCTGGCTGAGGCTGAGAAAAGACAGAAAGAAGTGGCGAATGATAATCATGACAGTCTGGGAGAAGAGCAATAAGACAGAATGACATGTGGGTGAGCCCTGAGTCTCAGGGTGCCCAGTGTGCTTAAGAAACAATGGCAACAAGGAGACAGAAAGGGATTGATGAGAGGTTGTGGATGAGTACAAGATACAAGGACGAATTGGGGCAGTGAGAGATGTAAGATTGTGTGACATTTTCTAGTCTACACTGGGAAGTCATTGAGTCTGAGGGTTTTTACTTTTATTTTTGTCAGTGGTGGGGCTTGAACCCAATGCCTTGTGCAAGCTAGGCAAATGCTCCCCCACTGAACTACATCTCAGACCTTGATCTGTTCTGGCTTCTCTAAGACAGTAGACTGGATGGCCGAGGAGGTGCAGGGAGACTAGTTTGGAGACCACTGACAGAACTAGGGAGGAGCTGTCCATGGTGGCTCAGCCCAGGGTGGTGAAGTGGGATGTAGACATGGTCAAACCCCAAAATGGTTGAAAGTGAGCCAGTGAGGCTCATGGTGGGTTGGGTGTGAGTGTGAGACACAGGGAGTGGGTGGATCTCTCAGGCTGGGTTCACACAGCTGAAGTGACAGGGCTGTCCTGGATGAGAGGAACACGGGTTGGGGGAGGCAGGTCAGGAGTTCCAAATTACCCCCTTGAGATTTCAAGTGGGTTCTTACTCTCCTCTGCCCTTCTCTGCCCACAGTGTCAGAAGACCCTTGTGAGCACCTACTGTGTACCTGTGACAAGGCAGCCATTGAGTGCTTGGCTCAGTCAGGCATCAACTCTTCTCTCAACCTTCTGGACACCTCCTTCTGCCTGGTACAGACTCCAGGTAGGAAGAACTGGGCCCCACATCCCCAGGAGCTGATGATCTGGGCAGGAAATGGTGTGGGACTAATCACTGCTCGGTATCTTTAGATGCCAAATGCAGTCCCTTCAAATGTTCCCAACCCAGTTCTTCACACTTTCCAATGTGCTTTCCTTTCAGAGACAACAAACAGGAAAGGACTGACAACACTGATCCCCAGAGGTGAGGCTCCTGGGAAGGCTTTTACTAGGATCACAAGGGCCCCATGATGATGACAGCTGGTGAATTCTCCTTCACGCTGTATGCCTCACAGAGGCTAGAAAGCCTATAAGTCTGTCTCACAGAGGCTGGAGAGCCTGCAGGACTGGACATGTCCCCTGGCTAGGAGGTCTAATTACTTCTGATAAGCTCATGTGAACAATCAACAGCTTCAGTGCAAACTCTGTTCCTTACTAAGGGCTGGGTATGAATTAATTAGGATGCAGACCCCCCCCAAGTCCTCTCTCTCTTCTCACTCTATAGGCAGAACTCAAGAGCCCCTCCCACCTAGTGATCTCCAGCCACAAAGGCCTTCTTGGAGCAGACCCCCTCTCTCTACATACACCAGAACCTGACAGGGGCAGCGTGAATCTAACAGGGCTCTTTAGAAGGAGAGACTTTTTCCTGTATGTCTTTATAGGACAGGGTGGGTTCTTAATAACTGTCCACTGAACTAGGCAAGTGATAATTCTTATTCTAAAATATGGGTCTTAGGAAAAAAATGGGAGTCAAGTATATGTCTGCTATTCCTTGTTTACCAAAGTTTCCATGATCTCTCAGTCCTGACACCTTTGAGTACTGGGGATGGCAAGTCCAAGGAAGAGCAAGGTGTTCCAAGTAACACCGTGGAAGAGCATCTGTTGTCTCCGCAGCTGTTGTCTTACTTGCAGAACTAGTGCAGTGTTGTTAAAGAACAAGCTGGTGTATACGTGTGTACGAGTATATGGATGTATGTGCATTGCATGTATGGGTGCATGGATATGTGGGTGTGTGCATGAGCTTGGGTGTTTGTGTATAGGTGTGTAGGAATGTGTAAGGGGGGGACATAAGTTTGTGTATGTGCACACTTTGTATCTCTCTGTATCCTCTGAATCTAGTGCTCTTTCTCTGCCATCCACACTGCCTTGGGAATGGGTCTTTTTGGATTGGGATAGCATTGGATAAGGCATTCTTTTTGCTACTGTCAGCCTATGTCCAGTAGAGCCCTCCTTTTCTACCATCATCTAGCAGTGACTGTGGGTTCTTTAGAAAGGGAACTGTGCTGGACAGCCCATGTTCCATGAGATGTAAGAAAGCAAGGGGACTACTGACAGGATAGGCAGTTCTTCCCTGGTAATACTCTTCCCAACAGCCTTCCTCCCTCAGCTCGGCACTTCCCGTCCTGCTCCTCGGATGCTGTATATTGCACAGTCATTTGCTATATGGTGCTCTCTTTTCCCAGAGGTTCCTGAAAAACCCACAGACAGCAGCCTGACAGCGCTCTCAGGAGAAGGTAAACAGGAGGGTGCTGGCATGTGACCCCAAAACTCTTGTCTCAACTGTGCTGTCCTTGACTTCCTGGTGTGAGCATCCCAAAATGTCTTCTGACTTCTTTGGTGTGGAACTGGTCCAAGTAAATTCCAGAGCACAAGTCTGTTCTCTTTTTCCTCAGCTTTCACTTAAACTCCTGTTCCCTCCATGTAGAATCATCAGGTAAAAGTCAGTGTGCCCACCCAGATGAGAGATAATACTTTTTAGTACAAGGTATCATTCAGAGTGGTTTTTGGAAAGTTTAGATATTCCTTGTTGCTTGGGTACTGTGTTTATGGTTAAGGCACTGTGCTGGGTACAGCAAAAGAGACCCACAAAAAGTAAAAAAGATAGTAATGAGTGATTTGTTAACAAAACATAAGTGCATCTCAAGATGTGAGGTGGGCAGTTGATGGGGAAAGTAGCACGGGGTATTTCCTAATTCCTCCTTTTATTAATATTCCCCCCTCAAGAGTTCAGTACCATGAATTTTTTCAGGGATATGGGTGATAAGATCCACCTGGTTTCTTCATGCTGACAGAGGGCAAGAGAAGTACTCAAGGTCCACAGTCTTGCTGTCTGACAGGACATGGAAAAGTTGATAAGTCTCAGAGAGAGGCAGCTGCTGAGAAAATGGCCTTTCTATTGTTGGACCAAGACTATAGTTATCATGAAATGAAGCAGCTATTATGTATGAGGGAAGAAGGTGTTCTGTAGCCTGGAGGTAAGAAATTTAATAAAGGTGTTAAAAAAATTAGAGGCCCAAATGAGGCAAGCAACAGAATTAGGAGCAGAGGGCAGAGGTATGTCTGATTGAGCCATCTCAGTTAAAGGTACAGTCTAGCCAATGACCACACAGGATTGGTCAAGCCGGGCCTTAACTCTTGTTGCAAGAAGTTTATCAATCTTATTGTTGCAGGAATCTAAGGAGACCTGAGAAAACACCAGCTTGGATACAAAATGGAGGCAGAGCATTTGTGAATCTATGTGAATTCACTGCTTCTGTTGTAACTGCCTCCCCTGGGCTTAATCTTGAGAGAAGTAGGGTGTCAGCCAATGTAGACTTGCAGATTTCCTGGATAGGGAAACACAAAGAGACAAGTTGGAATGGCTAAAATATACAAGTGAAAGAACCCATTGTTTAAGAAACACCATCATAAAGCAGAATACAAAAGAGGTACCTGGGAGGTCTTTAGTTATTTTGGAAGAGTTGGCATGAGTGACTCCATTTTTGCTGTTGGTTTTGAGAACAGGGCTCAGTATGCAGTTTAGGCTGGCGTAGAACTTGCTATGTTGCCCATACTGGCCTCAAACTCATGATCCTCCAATTTTATCCTCTCGCTTGTGTGTACAAGCATGTGCTATCACACCCCACTAGAAATGACTCCTTTTTTTTGGTAGTACTGGGGTTTGAACTCAGGGCTTCACGTTTGCTAGGCAGGCACTCTACCACTTGAACCATACCTCCAGCCCTTTTTGCTTTGTTATTTTTGAGTTAAGGTCTTGCTTTCTGCCCAGGCTAGACTAGACCTGGATTCTCCTATTTTGTGCTTCCTGCCATGGCTGTGATAACAGACACACACCACCACATGCAGCATTTTTCTGTTGAGATGGGGGAGAGGTGTCTTAAAAACTTTTTTTGTTTGAGCTGACCTGGAACTGTGATCCTCCTGAATTCAGTCTCCTGTAATCTGGGTTGACAGGCATGTACCATTTTACCCAGCTATTGATTGAGATGGAGTCTTATGAACTAGGCTTGAACTGCAATCCTCCTGATTTTGGCCTCCCAAGTAGAAAGAAGCGTGGGCATGAACCACCAGTGCGTGGCTAAAATGATTCCATTTTTATTTCAGCAGCATCCCCTCTTATCTTTGAATAATTCTCTCATCATTAGGATAAGATTTCCTGGTTGGTGTGATTTGGTCCCATGTGGGTCGAAATATGGCAGATAGATGAAAGTCGATGCCAAGGACACTTTTACCCAAATTTAAGCAAACTGAGAGACTTAGAAGGAGCGGCTCTTAGACTGGGCTTACCTGAAGTCCATCCTTAAGTTTAGTTCTGTCTGTCCTGAAAAAATGCTGCTCAGGCTGTATTGTTAAAAGTTGTACCTCTCAGAATGTAAACAGATAACAGTTATAAAGTTTTACAAGGAAAATGCAAAAAACCAATCGGAATACTTAAAGAAAAACTATTTGTTTGAAAAAAAAGTATTTGCTAGAGTCATTTTTCCATGAGTTTGGTTATAATGCTTTAGAAAAAGACCAAACTGTAGGTGGGAAAAGACTTAAAATAGTTGTAGTTCAAATTTTGAAAAACAATTTAGCACTGACAAGATATAGGAAACAGACCTAAGAAACTAAACCTCTTGCAATTGCCTTAAGTGGGGTGGGGAGAGGGCTGAGGGGGAGAGACGATGGGAGCAATGTAAATAATGTACAATATAAGTGTAATCAGAATTGTCACTACGAATCCCCCCTATATAATGAATATATCCTGATAATTATAAAAAAGACACAGTTCAACAGAAAAAAAGAGTCTAGTTATTTCCACTGCACACAGCATCTTAGGATGATAATTATGATTGAGGGCGTATACCAGCACAACAAGCTCTCCTCACAGTTAGGAACACGTGGACACAAACTTGCAAAAGGATAACAATTTAAGTATTCTTTAAGTATTCCAGCCGGATACTGCTCCAGGTATGGAAAAGAATCACACAGCAAAAAGCACACAAAAAGTAGACAGCAATGAGTGATTTATTAGCAAAACATGAGTGTACCTTGAGGTGTGAAGTGAACAGCTGAATGAAAGTCAACTGCCCAAATGAGGAAAATATATGTCAAAGAGGTGAGGTAGGCTGTTGGATAAGGGCCATGCCTACCTGGAAGCTGTGGAGGCTTAGGGTTTTAAGCAGTAGGGTGGAGTTGCTGATTGGTGCAAAGCTGAAGCCCTCTCATTATGACCCTCCCCTAAAGGTTGGATGGACTGCCCAGGTGTTGGTTGGTTAATGGTTGGTTCAGGGGTGGTTCATTATGTCAATTGTTGGTCCAAGTGTGGGCCATTAGAGATGTCATGATTCCGCTTCCTGGAAGGGCAAGTAGGCTGGGATATGTCCTTATTCCTGCCTACATTAGTAGTATGTTCTGGATATTGTACGGAACACACTTACCCCAAGAAGTTCTTTGCTGTTCATCTGGAATCCAAATTTAGATGGCCATCATATATTTTTTTTTTTTTGCAAAATGTGACATGCATTCCCCTCAAGGGTATCACTCTGCAAACCACCTCCCAAGAGCCAGTTTCCTCCTCTGTGGCCACCACTAATGAGCCAGGAAAATAGAAGGTAAAAAGTAGTTTCCGGAGACTTGTGTGAAGGGCCAGAGAGTAAGAATTTTGTGGGCTGGGGGTCTCTGCCACTAATACTCTGCTACTGTGGCATGAGCAGACCCACAGCATTCAGTAAATGAATGGGTATAGCTCTATTGCAGGAAAGCCCTATTTATAAAAACAGACTGAAGTCTTGGCCACAGTTCACAAACCCCTGAAAAGGCATACTTATTCCTACCCTGTAGCGTGGCATGAGAATTAAATGAGAGCTGGAGATTTAATGACAGCCCAAGAGATTCTGGACTGGCATCTTCAGCATATACCAGCAGTCACAGTGAATGAATACTGGATGATTTGCTGAAGATACAGACTCTCACTTAATGCTCATACAACTCTACAATATATCTGCTAAACATGAATTTTAAGACTGCAAATTGAGATGCAGAGAGAGGTTGTCCAAGACACATAGCTGAGAGGCAAGACTAGGATTGGAGAACCTCAATTACTTCCTGACCAAACTCCCTCTACAGCTGCCTTTCCACAAGGAGCTGTACACCAAGCTGGGGAAATAATGACCCTTCACTCCCCAAAATGTTGCTTTCTAGTCTTTTTGTCAGAGCACAGGCCTGGCCCCAGTTTGCCTTTGTCCACTGAGTTGGGACCTATAGCTTGGCTCGGATATATAGCTGGGTCCATTATGAAGTTGGGCTGTTTCTTTTCACAGTGGCTGGTGAGACCAGAGCTGACAGACTGACCACACTCTCCAGGACAAGTAAGCAGAAGGGACTTCAGCAGAAGAGGGCAGCACAGGATCCAGTGAAGAAATGCTGTCCAAACATTTGTGTACAGTCGTGATGGCTGCTCCTGGAATCATTATTGTACTCATTTCAGGGAATGGGTAGATCACTGAGGCTTGGGGAGCTTAAAAGTTCTAACTCACCCAGTAAGCCACTCTGCAGCCTGGACTATGAGCCCAGAATTCTGTCTGTAAGACTGTTTCCTTTCCATTTATATGATAGTGACTAATGGAGCAGACCATTTTACCTAAAAATACCTGAGCCAAAATTTCAGTGGAATTAATCCAACCATGTACTTTGTTCATGGTGATTAATAGCCATGGATCCTTTATTAATAGGAACAAGAAACTGATAATAATTACTTGCTAATTACATATAATGAGTAAGGAAGTAGATTCTTTGGTTAAGGAACAATGCCACTATTCAGGGCTTTTACGTGCTGGCATGTTCCTAAGCTACTTACATACAATCTGCGCAAGCTCTCGCTGGTCATAGGAGACCCGTATTATCCTTATGGTACAGAGAAGAAGAAGCTCTGATTGTAGTGTCATTTGCCCTGGAGGCTCAGCTTAGCAGTCCTTGGCTCTGCGTTGGTAGGTTTGGCTTTTGAAGAGAACCACCTGCTCCAGCTTAGACTGTCCAAGGGGCGGTTGTGTTCACCTCATGGAACTTCCAAGCCAGGTTCTCACACAAGACAGTCATTGTCTTGATTGTAGAAGGCAGCTCCTCCTTTCCCCAGAATTTTTACTCACCATCTCTTGCTCTTTGTGGTATGGTTAGAAGTAAAACAGCAGCCTAGTGTAGTGCTTAAGAGCGTCAACTTCAGCCAGGCAGCCCAGGATTGCATCTTGTCACATCATAGCTCTGGGACCTTCAATGAAAGACATGACTTGGCTGGCTGTGTCCCCTTCCTCACCTCTGCATGAGGGTTAACAGAGTACTTTGAATTCAGAGTTAATAGTGAGTTAAATGAGAAAGTCCTATTGTCACATCATATGACATACAGTCAGAGCTTAGTAACAGTTAACAACTTGCTTTGCAGAGAAACTGAGGCTCAGCCTCCTTCTTGGGATCAAAGAGCAGCATACTCTGTAATGCATACACTGTATACACTCTGCTCAAAAATGTGATTTTTCTTTTAGTTTTTCCTGTCCAAATTCTGAAGAAACCACTGTTACAAAGTATTCCAAGTCCAGGCGGAGAAGTTACAGCAGCACTTGCCAGTCAGCCTGTTTTTGGGGGTCCCCCTTCTGGTCCACAGTGACCCTCGTATCTTCAGCCCTCCCAGAAGATCTCATGGTGGGGGGTAGACCAGGCCCTGGGAGGAGCATAGGATCTCCTGGGTCCAGTAAGAGAGGTGCACCTTTGGATACCAAGGTGCTTACCAGCTGGGGTTGGCACTCACCCTGTCTCCTTTTCTCTTTGGGGAAGAACCAGGCCGAGATCTGGAAGGCACAGGAGCTGCTAGGATCACAGTCCCTCCAGGTAAGTATATACTCAGCTACTCCTGCCTTTTTAAATGTCATTGTCCCCCATCTATTTATGAAATCAATGCATTCCAAATGAGCCTTGGGGCCAAACCCAAAATAGAAGAAATCATTGAAGCCAATTTTCTTTTAACATCCCCTGCCATAAAAAGTACACAAATGAAATTAAAAGATAGATCCATTTGCAGGAAGACATGGAAAATTTTCTGGTAAGGAGATGCATTTAGCAAAATGCAGAAGACTATATTTAGCTTTCCTTTTAAATCACTTGCAATCCCACAATACAAACACAGATACAACTAATATTTGAAGATATGTTTTCTAGTCTCCTACCCCTAAGCATATCTATGGACATAAATAAAAAGAATTTGAGCTCGCTTATGGCCACAGTTCTGCAGAATGGACTGAGTCATGAATGCAAGGTGATGGGATGTCCCTGACATTAATTTTTTCCAGTAACGTTAGTTATGGTGGCTCTAGAACAATTCCTTATATGGAAATATAATTTATATAACTAATTACTTCTAACATTTTGTTATTATAAATAGTAGAGATGCACTTTCTTTGTATCCATGCACTTCTGATTAATCTGTTAGGATAAATGTCTGGAAGTGTGTGTAATCACTGGACAAGGGGCAGAACGGGCAGCCTCGAAGGCCTTGGGAAAGACCTTGTCCTTAACTGTGAATAGCACGCGAGGCTGGTATAGCACCTGAACGAAGAAGTCAAGGGGTGAAGGAGGATTTTCGTTTGTTTACATTTTTAGGTGCCATCTTACTTTCTCTACTGTTCGCTTTGCTCTTAACTTGCCAGAAGCATCCTGATGGGACTCCACATGGCAGGTACACAGTCATAAATATGACACAATCACAGGTCTGAGGGACCATCACAGTTCTCTTCATGAGCCCCATTCAGGTGATCTAGCACAGACTCGGAGCAGTGGTAAAACTGTCATAGAAATTTTGGCAATCCTCATGTAGAGTCCATGGATGTCTGAGAATTGATTTCAGTGTCTATACATCCACTGTGAGGTGCACTCTCCTGATGCTTCTGTGTTCTGAGACATTTGTCCTTGACCATGTGTCCGTCTGCAATCTCTCCTTGAGGCACTTTTTGAATCAGAACCATCATGGTGTGCATTTTCAGGATCTGAAGAGATTATCACCACAGCTAAAGGTGCTACCCTTGTCCCCCCTGGCATTAAATCTTTGGGGTTGACAGTGTCATCTGCTAACAGTGGTCCTGAGGAGACAACTGGAAAAGGTAAGCAAGACCTGGCATCTAGAGGAGTGTGTGTCCTCTCCACCCTTGGGGTCCTTTGGTTAGGGAGAGAGAGAGAGAGAGAGAGAGAGAGAGAGAGAATTCAGAGAAAAAGCACAGAGGCAGAGACAAGCAGTGAAATAAAGAAAGCCAAGGCCTTGGAAAGGCAAGCCTACCAGGTGTGCTTGCCTGAGGACAGCCAAGACTCCCAGGATGCTAGGTTCTGCTCAGTGATATAATACGGCCTGAAGAGCATCTTTGGTCCTGGCAAAAGTTCTCATTCATCCTAGAGGGAGAGGTGATAAACAGTCTGGTAAAGCATTAAAACCTGGGCAGGAAAAGACACTCTTTGAAATGCCATGTATTCCAAAGACAACTCAGTTGCAAGCCACAACTCAGTTCTCACAGAAGAACAGCAATCAGAGGCATAGAACATGGGGCGCCTTGTGCCACCCAGAGTTGCCTTCACACAAGCTAGAACATTGCTCTCCTCTTGGGAATCCTCTTGATTTTCTAAGAGTCCCTATTTCTAATCAGCTTGTGACAGATTGACCTTCCTGCACCTGGGGAGTGGGGACAACACGCAAGTGATGCTACAGCTTGGAGAGATGCTCTTTTGTCTGACATCCCGTTGCCCTGAGGAATTTGAATCTTACGGTTGTTACTGTGGGCAGGAAGGAAGAGGAGAGCCAAGAGACACTTTGGATAGGTACGGAAGGGAAGAGGGTAGTGTCTGAGTGGTGCTGATACCGTTTGCATCTGAAAGGTAAGAGCCTTCATTGACTTCGGAGTTTGCTTTAGGTTTCCCAAGGAGCATACTGCATGCATTCATTCTCGCTCAGAGCAACTCATTAGCATGAGAGGCCCATTTTCCTGATGAGCAAATGAGGCTTAGAGGCTGACTTGTCTGACATTCATTTAGGAAGGGCCAACTGAGTCAGATTTAATTTGCAAGTCCAAGCCCTTTCAGCACAATCACAAAGACTTCCCAGGTGCCCCAAGAGTGCTCATCTGCCAACATACCCTCAGAGGACCCAGGATTGACCACTTTTGTAATGAAATGGGATCTCTCCTTGGTTTGCCCTGCAGAAGGCAACATTTAAATTAGTTTCTGTTAAATTTCATATTTACCATTCTTGTGAGCATTTTCACTGACCTCCTACATTCATTGACTTAATAATTCACATACATACGCATTCAACATTTCTTGAGGTTTTGCTGTACTTCAGGCACTATGCTAGGAAGTGGAGATCGAAATGTGATCAAAGCTAAATGAAGCAGAAAAAAAGCAAACTGTTCAGACCCCTAGAAGCTTGCATAGAGAAAGAGATGGACAGTTAAACAAATATGCTACCCAACATAAAAAACGCAGTAGGAGGAACAGAGGAAATTATAGAAAACTTGACCTGACATTGAGCAATATTCTGAAAGTAGAGGTAAAAAGCCTTGGGGATTGCCTTAGTCCATGGTCAATGGAGAGGTCTGAATTTCAAAGGCAGCCATCCTTCTTTGGTGGTGTAATTGTCATAGCAAGATCAGTAAGTTTAGATGTTTCAAAAAGAACAAGACACAGCTAATTATAGTTGATACAAAGGGTTTGGTAATGGCAAAGACATGGAACTTGTCAACTGCACATCAGATGATGTGTGAAGGCTAGGTACTTACCCACCCGCACCTCAGGACTTTCTCCCATCTCTACCACACAGTCATGCTGGCTCCATTCAGCACAATGAGCAGGCTTCCCATGAAGGAAACAAGGGGCAACCTTCAAAACTTACCATCCACCAGGTGACCCTAAAGACGTTTTTACTGTGGCAAAGTTTAAGCTACATTGTGGACTCAAAGCATGGTTATATTATGAGGTTCATCAGTGTGCCCTGAGTTCTCCAACTCAGAGAGCACATAAGCAGCATCAAGATTCCTGAGCCCAGAACACTCAATGCACTAAAAAACGATAGGCACCTAGAACACTCAATGCACTAAAAAATGATAGGCACCTAGAAAGCAGCAGCTCCTGTGTTTTGTTGAGACCCATAAAAAGAAAGTGAGGACTATTTTGATGACATTCCTGATCACTGACCACATTACACCAAAATATTAAATGTGACTAGTAAGGAAAGTAAATTGATGTGACTTCTTGACATCAGAAGGAAGAAATTAAAAACCTGAAATTAGTCAACCACGGACTGTGTTCTGCAAAGATGTATTCTCAACAACATGTATTTTGTACACTGTAGCAATGCAAGTGATTTCTAAGAGAATATCTATCACCTATGACTTCTGGTCCACTTGTTGACTTTAGATTATAACTGTTTTATTAATTATCCACCCTCCCTGTACCGTGGCAGGTGCACACACGAGACTGTGAAGTTCTGTTTTAGTAGCATCCCAATAGGTCATACACTGAGCTCTGGTCACGGGGTAATGTGGTCATGAGAGGTGGTGTGGGTGGTTCCATCAACTGTGGGTAATAAGGCTGGTAAAGCTGATTCATGGCCAAGAACAAAGTTATCAAAAGGTGCAAGTCTGTGACTCATCCTTGCTTGGTCTCCAAGAAGTAGTGGGTTACTGAAGGGCAGGGGAGAGTGAAAAAAGAGGATTTGGGAGCAACTGTAGCTCATCAGAAGTGTCCTGAGGATGTCATCTAGCCTGGGGGTGGGGGGCAACACTGGAGACACAGTGAAGCTTTGTCAGGATAGATGGTCAGGTCTAAAACCAAGACACTGATTCATCGTGTGTTTACTGAAGTCCTGCTCCATGCTGGACCCTGTTCTTCTAGATGCTGTTCATCCACTTTTTAAAAAAAATTCTTTGTTTTTTTTAAAGCAATGGAGTTTGAACTCAGGGCCTCACACTTGCTAGGCAGGTGCTCTTACCACTTGAGCTACTCTACCAGCTAGACGCCATTCTTGATGACCACTATGCTGTCTTTAAGGCTGAGGGTTAAGGGAGATGCCCAGCAGATGTGGGATTAACTGTTCAACTGTGAACAGGGTTGGATGGAGTGAGGGTCACTGCTACCTACACGCAACCTTTGTGCAAACTAAAATAGGTACCCCTTCCTGAAGATTCTTTGTTTCTATCTATTGGAAAATTACTATACTAAATATGCAAATCACCCATATTTGCCATCAACAGTTATAATAAAAACATAAAAATTTAAATACCTTATAAATTACATTAAATATGATTGATGCTGTCTTCGTAGTGGCGTCTTTGTGCAGTATGCAACCTGAACAGCCCTTAGGGTGTGTATGGGTCAACCCTATAGGAACTGGAAGGGAAGAATGGAATTCTCTCACTACCACAGGGAGGAGGGATGAAAGAAGACTTGGTCCTGGACCAGTGGGGAGCTGTGGGCAGTAAAAGGTGTTTTCTTCACCTTAGGTGCTGTTTATCCCATCACTGCTGCCTGGAGCAGGTGAGAAGGTTGGGCTGCCTGCAACTCTCGCATCCTCGGTCAGCAGTGGTGTGTGTGGATGGTGCACCCAAGTGTAAGTGACATCCTTCAGGTCTGCATCCTGGGTGTGCTTAGCTATAATGTCATCTCACCATCTTCACTTTGTGATATACCTCATTACAACTGTTTCACTGATAAAGAGGCTCAAGTGCAAGAACCAGTTGCTTTAAGTGACAAAGCTAGCCCCTGCTCTGTGCATACACTATGTGCTGTCCTGAGTACAGTTATTAACAGTTAACCCTCATGTCAATCCCAGGAAATGGCAGTCCCATTCCTCCCACTTCATAGAAGAGACAGTCAAGGCGCACGGTCATGGTCATGTGGGTCAAAGGAAGTGGTAGAAATGGGATTGGGCCATAAAGCTGTATTGCCTCAGACCTGAAACCACTCTTCACTATCCAGTGTGATATGAGATCTGAGGAATCCCATAAAACAGGGGTGGCTTTGGCTGAAGGGCAAGGTGGGCCTTTAGCTGCACTCCTCCCATAGTGGAAACTGAGGTCCTCTGAGGCTGTTCAAGCCCACTAGCAGGGACAGTCTCAAAACTGCTGACGCTGTGAGCACCAGCCCTGACTACTGGATGAAGCTTCCTTGGTACTGACTTGTTCCACCTCTGCATGCACAGTGTGGATGCATTTTCCCATGCTTTGCAACTTAAAAGGAAATTCTTCCTGAAACTTCACGGGAATGCTGCAAGGGCTCATCCTCATTTTTGTCTGGGGAAGCCTGGCCAGGCCTTTCTTCCTCCTTCCTGTCTCTATATTCCCTAAACACAATGCATGGACCTCCATACCATATTGCCTTGTGCTCTCCTTTATGGCTATCTATCTGTCACTCACTCACTTACTAATTCAATTATCCTGATTGCATCAGGAATCAGGAAAATAACTGTGCTAGTTATCACTGTGACAAGATACTTGAGAAAAATCAACTCACAGGAAGAAAGATTTCTGTAAGGTTCATTGTTTCAGAGGTTTTAATCGATGCAAACTTGGCTCCATGGTTGTGGTTATGTATTGAGGCATGTGTGGGGGGAAAAGAGAAGAAGGGGTGGAGAAGAGAGAGGGAGAGAGAAGGGGGAGAGAGAGAATGAGAGAGACACCAAGAATGAGATATACCCTTCCAAGACACATTCCCAATGACCTACTTCCTCCAACTGGGCCCTTCTTCCTAATTTTCATCACCTTCCAATAACACTGTCAATTTATGAATTCTCAGTGGACTAAAGTTACTGATGAGGTTTGCACCCTCATGATGTAATCACTTCCCAAAAGTCCATCAGCTGGCAAGCACTCAGAACATGAGTCTTCTAGGGCTAGTTCATATTTAAGACATAACAATCTGCATGTTCCTTGCCTCAAATTGCTGAAAGCCTAGAGGGAAGGAAGACAGGGAAGCAACTATGCTGACCTTACATAGCGTATGCTGACAAATGGTGTGGCTGTCCTGGACATGCATAAAGGGGGTTTGAGTCTGCAGGTTGTAGTGAGGACCAGGAAACTTGGGAGCAAACAAAAGAGGTGGTGAGGTGAGATGTGACGGGGGTTAAGAGTCCCAGAGGACTGGGTTGGGTAGGGATATTCCATGCAGAGAGGATGAAGAGAAATTGTGATGTTTTGGAATGCCTGGAGTTTAGGACCAGAAAGTGAAGGCAGAGGGTGTGATTGAGGTGCAGCATGAGGTTAGAGAGATATTCAGAGCCTGGATCCTGAGTAGGGCAAACACTTACATTTTCTCCTACAGGAGGGAGGAGCCAGGGCTGGGTTAGAGTCCATGAGTGGCAGGATCAGGTTTTTATTGTCAGATGTTGCAATCATGCCTTGAATGCACGCCTGCTTGCTGGAGACTCATGCTCCCTTCCTGTATCAAAGAATCCAGCAATGCTGCTGCGGTCAAACTTCTACTCAGTGAACCAGTCTCTGACCTCCATGAGCCACAAGCACTGGATCCTGTAACCAGATGCTGGCTAATGGGAAATGAGGGCACTCCAGCACCTGCCCCATGCTGTCGTGCTTCTAAGTACAGTGGGGAAGACAGGGGCACTGTAGGGAACAGGCCTGTTTATGCTTCTACACTGCCCTGGACCTTCCCTACGTCCCTGTTCCCCCTCCTGCTTCTGTAAAGCAATCTGCATGCCTGGGAGGTTGGGGTAGGAGACTTGGTGGGGGGGGTCTGTGTTGTATACAATGAGAATGAATCTGGTCGATGAACACTTCAAGATTAAATATAAAAAAATGACCTTTTAACTTCACTGGAAACTGCAGATACCAAGGATCCTATTTGCAGGAAGCTTATCTATGTCTAGCACAGTCAAGTACACTATTTCATTTCAGTCACAGCACCCCCGCTGTGTACAATTCCTGCAATAAAGTAAGGCAGCAAATAAAAATACAGAAAGCCTAGGGAAACGTGTGTGTTACATAAACAAGAAACTTTTTTACAGGATGAGTTTGCCATACTTATTATCTGAAGTTCAAATTTAACTGGTCTTCCTGTATTTTACCTCATAATCTCAAAGCATTGTTTTTGTTCTTTGTTTTGTTTTTTGTTTTTTTGTGGGACTGGGGTTTGAACTCAGGGCAAAGCAGGTGCTCTACTGCTTGAGCCACACTTCCAGTCCTCAAAGCAGTGTGAATAAAAATTTTCATTTGACAAATGTGGAAGTCCTGGTTCAGAGAAGGAAGATGTACCTACCAATCCAGTCCCACAAATATTTCTCAAGAGCTTACTCAGGAAACAGTTGAGGATGAAGTTAGGTGCTTGGCACGTGGATCTGCTGTCAAGGTTCTCTATCTAGCAGGAGAGAAAAGTAGAACATTCACAGACAATTGCTGTAAACGTGATTGACTGGTAAACTGCTGTGACACATAACCACAGGGGGGGCTCAACAGGAGCCCATAGAAAAGATACTTCATTAGCTGCTCAGTCTCAGGGAAGCTTTTTAGGGGAGGGGACCCAGGCTGAGTCTACACAAACAAGTCTGGGTGAACCGGAGGAAGAGAAGGTTGAGAACATTCCAGGCAAAGGGCTTCTTACCAGCAGGAGAGAGCTGAATTGTTATAAGGAATTTGCATGCCAGATGCTAGAGGAGACAGGCAGGGTGGGGCTGTGAGAGGAAGGGCTGAGGGGCAGGCAGGCTTCCATGGTCGCCTTTATGTGCCATCCCACAATATCTCATGTTTCCTACTCTGCTCTTGTTCTCTAAGGTGTGGGGCAGAGCTTGTGCGAGAAGCTGCTATGTGCCTGTGACCAGACAGCAGCCGAATGCATGGCCTCTGCCTCCTTTAACCAAAGCCTCAAGTCACCAGGCAGACAAGAGTGCCAGGGCAAGCAGATGTCATGTGAGGAGAGCATGCCTGGAGGGCACTCAGCTTCTTCTGTTGGCTCCAGCTCCGAGGAGAACAGCGAGGAGATCATGCCCCACACAGGAGGCCTCAGAAGCAGAAGGTTTCTGGGGAAGTCACTTGGTCCCTTGAAGACCAGGCCACTCCATGGAAGATAGGTTCCCAAGAGCATCGCAAACATTCCTGTAGTTCTCCTGCTCTGCCTTACTTTGGCCCTTAGTCCTCTCTGTCCATTGAAGCCTTAGCAGAGGCTCAAAGGGAAAAGAGGTAACAAGACCCTTGACCCTGTAACTTCTGGCATTTGTCAGCTCAAATAGGAATGTGCACTGGAAAAAGGTAGGAGATGGGCCTTCTGTATTCCCTGTAATGCACTATGGAAGCTAAATAAATATTCCATTTCATATGGCTTGTTTTTAAGAATTGTTTAGTTGAGGCAGGCACCAGTGGCATACACCTGTAATCCTAGCTACTCCGGGGGCAGACATGAGGAGCATTGCGGTTTGAAGTCAACCCGGGCAAAAGGTTTGCAAGACCCTATCTTGAAAACACTCAACACAAAAAAAGGCTGGCAAGTGTATCAAGTGGTAGAACACCTGCTTAGCAAGCATGAAGCCCTGAGTTTAAACTCAGTACCACACACACACACAAAATGTTTGGTTTATAGATACTGGTACATGAGTGTGTCTTAAAGATGACAGAGACAGTGGAGGAAAAAATTGACTCCCTAATCACTGAAAGCTACCTTTTGCTTTTATTTAAAAAATAAAAGGGAATATATTTAATCAGTCACTTATGGGTCACCAATAGCCAGTAATGTATGCCAAGAACTGAGAGGATGGCTCTTTTGCCCCCAAAATAACCTACCATCTTTGATATTAATGGAAATGCCACTTGCCACAGACACCTTGACAAATCACTGAACACTGTTCTGCATCTTAGACTTGATTTTTTTTTTTTTAATGAGGATTAGCCCAGTAACTGAAAGTTTGGGAGATGCAAAGACCAACTCTGACATAGGCAGTCTGGTATTATGGTGACTGCAAAATCTGAAATTTTACCCATCCATCCATCCACTCTCCCAATAGTGGAGACTTTATTGTCTACCAGGTAAAGGCAAAGTCTACCAACCCTCCCTTTAATATTTAATGGAGCATAAACTCTGGTTCACACTATGTCTTTGGTTCTCAAGTCTCATAAGCTATGTCTCCTTGATGAGATATTGATTTCTGCCTGCCCCTCATATACTCAGGAAAGCAGCACTTCTAAAGAGATCAGTGTGTAGCTATTAATGTTGCTCAGTGGTACAGTGCTCACCTAGCATGGGCAAGGCCCTAGGTTCCATCCCCAGCACCATAATAAACAGGTAAGTAAATAACTGGTTCAGTGCTTGCTGACTTTTCCCATCATGTCATGAAAACATTCTGAAATTGGTAACACCTTAGGAAATCACAAAGTCTTGGTGCCAAGACATTAGCTGACACCCTTCCCTGCCTTCTAGGGACCCATGCACTGAGTAGCTTTTGATGAATCTAATACACTGGAATCTTTTAGACAATGTGACCATATCTAACTGCATGAGTTGTGTCCTCCACGGAGACTCCTGGACAGGGACTTGAGGGCAAGCAGTTCATTTGGGAAGTGAGGAAAACACTGAGAAGACTGAACAAATGACAGGAAATGAAGGCAGCCAGTGAAGGGTGCATTATCCAGCCAGTCATCACTGTGGGTGACTGCAGTATATCACACTGGAGGACTCTGGGATCTACAGTAAGATGTATGCTTCAGAGTCATCTCATTCAAGGCAAGGGGCAGGGAGGAAGGAAGGGAGGGAGGAAGAAATGGAGAGAGGTAAGAGAAGGGAGAGAGAGAGAGAGAGAGAGAGAGAGAGAGAGAGAGAGAGAGAGAGAGAATGAATCAAGTTCCATCAGTCATGACTCCCAGAAGGGAGGTCAAAGTGGGCTCCGGTGGCCAGAGAAAGTCTCAGGCAAAGAAATTCAAGTGGCAGCAGGTGGCAATGAGCCAGCCTGCACTAAAATGGCAAGGGCAGAGGCCTGCCACCAGTGGCACTTGCTGTATGTAACTAAGAAATCCCTTACTGGCTGGCTGCTCCTTTACTTAACACAGTAGAAATCTGCTGAGTGTTTGCTCCCGAAGGCAGGGTCACTATGGTGACCCTGTCTTCTCTCACGTGAGGCAGCTGAATGTTAGAGGAGGAAAAAGTGCAACTGTGCTGACCCATTTCTCCTCAAGTTCACCACCACAAAACTGCAAATGGATACTCAAACTTATCTTAAATCAGTTTTCTGTTCAGCACAATTGTTTGCTATCTTTTCTTCTCTCCCAACCTCTCACACCTCCTCCTCAGTCTTATTTGATGATTTGCAATAACTTTGAAAGGTATGAGATTTTATCTGACTTGCAGTTTAGCAGGTTAATCCGCAGTTCCAAGGGAACTGGGTCAGAGACAAAGGGAACTGGGTCAGAGACAAAGGACTTTACTACTTGGGCAGTAGCCTGAGGCAAGACTGAGGGCTGGGGACATTCATACACTCAGTGAAAATATGCTTCACAACAAAGATACACACCTGCATCATAAAAGGCTAGAGGTGGAAGAGAATTCAGCAATGGCATTTTCCTAGACACTACAAGATTCTGATGCAATTCCTCCCCCAAGATACGAGCCAGTAAGAGAAATATTCTTTTTTCACTTTCAGTTTACATGCTCTCTGGGACACCTTCTGATTTCAAATCCTTTCCTAAGAAATATTTTCAAAAAGGAAGTGGGTAAAAATACTGAGCAAGGAGCTCTTCCTTTTCTTTGTAGTTTTTTTCTTGGGCCTTTTCAGACCTTTTTGGTTTTTGTTTGGCAGTACTGGGGACTGAACCAAGGACCTTGTGCTGAAATGTACCACTTGGACTATGCCCCAAGTAACTTGTTTTTATTTTGTTGTTGAGATAACATCTTGCTAACTTTGCCCAGACAGGCCTTGAATTCATCCTGTGTCCATCTCCTGAGTAGCTGGGATTACAGGCAGGTATCATGGCTGGTTTCCAGAAGCCTCTTTCTAAAGTTATGCTTCCTAGGTATGTGATACCAGCAATTCTTCACAAGGCACACATCCTCTCTTCCCTGGAACACATTCATTCACTGTTTCAATTTTTTTCCATATGCCTTTTAACTTCCAAATTGCTATTGAGTCTCTGAGTTCCAGTCCTGAATATTCAACTTTCCACCCAGTAATGTTACTTGGATACCCCATAAGCATGCTCCTTAAGTTTACCACATCTAAAGTGGGGCTCATGTTAGGGTCACTTCCTTGACAAGCAGAAAGGGTTGGCGTTAGAAGGTGAATTCCCCATGCTGGGGAAGTAGGAGTACTTCCAATACTTCAAAATACTTTATTTTGTTGCATCTGGCAGCAAAATAAATTAGTTGGAAAGAGCACAGACTAGGAACAAGAGGCATTGCCTATTTCTATTAGGAGGCTGCTGTCAAACAATAAAAAGACAATCTTATTAAGAAATGGGTTGCCAGGTATGGTGGTTCATACCTGTAATACCAGCTTGGGAGGCTAAGGCAGGAAGATGGAGATTTGTAGACAGCCTGTGTCAGATTCATCTGACAATGCCTGTTTTCTGTATTTCCTGTGCTCTGGCACACAGCTTCTCTGAGAATAAAACGTGAGATGTCTTCAGCAACAGCTCAGTGCTCAAGAATATAGAACCCAAACTTGAAGAAATTAATGCCCATAGGGCTGCCCTGGATAATGAACAAATGCCAAAGGATAAATGATTCCCTCCACTTTCATTCCATGGGTTGACAGCTCTGTTACTTAATGAGGCTCTTTAGCATGTTCAGCCGCATGGCTCTGTCTATACTGACGGCCAATTTAAAAGTGTATGCTAGGTTTTTTGTCCTTTTCAGTGTTCAGTCCCTTGCGAGGGTTGTCTGGAATCACTTCCAAAAATGACACCTGTACATAAGTCTTGTCTTAAGCTCTGCTTTAGGGAAACCTAGCCTGAGACACTGCCTTCCTAATAGTCTGCCTCTGATTCAAGTGTACGTTAAAGGCTGAAAATAGCAAAAGTGAGAGGCCAAGTTTGATCTCCACCTTGGCTCTGCTTTTTCATCAGTTCACAGTTAGTACTTAGATCAACAATTTTGCAGATGGAAGAACAGATAACAGCAAGTCTGAGTGGGAAAGAAAGCCGGAAGGATAGCATTTCACACAGTGCTAAGGAAACAGGTTCAGAAATGAGGAATGGCTGACCTAAGACAACAGAGCTGAAACAGTGGCCCAAGGCTTCTTTCCCAGTCTAGTGATCTCAGGGATTGTTATGAACCTATTACTGTCCTCATTCTATAGTGAGATGGCAGATGAGCATTCAATCACTTGCCTCAGACTCCTCAGGCAGGAAGCGGTGGGACAGGGTTTGAACCAGAGCCCAAGCTCCTCACCACATTACACTGCTGAGTGTAGGAGGTTTTTGAACTACAGGAGGCTACAATGAATAGCTATATAGGTGGCAGAATAAGCAAAGCAGAATGACTAAGGTACTAGAGAGTAGCTGCTTTTTAAAGAGAGTCATCATGTAATTTATAGAGCAAGGAGACAGGGTTGAAAAGGTCATTAAAACTAATGCAGAGATGGCAACTGTGCAAGGACACACTGAGTACCCCGGGCTGATACTGCCAATGTAGTATTAGGGATGAAGCCATGAGGCAACTTGGTTTTCACAAAAGTGCTTCATTTTCAACTAAAGCAAATATTTCAAGCTGGAGAATGGAAAAGAATCAAGTAAATAATGATGAAAAAGAGGGCATAACCACAAATACCAATGACATTCAGAGGCTCATTAGGGAATACATTAAAAACTTATAGTCAAATAAATTGGAAAATCTAGAAGAAATGGATTTCTAGATGCATTTAACCAACCAAAACTGAACCAAGAAGATATTAACCACCTAAATAGATCCATAACAAGCAATGAGACTGAAGCAATAATAGGGCCTCCCAATAAATAAGAACCCAGAACCCGATGGATTCACAGCTGAGTTCTACCAGACATTTAAAGAACTTACACCAATATTCCTCAAAGTTTTCCCGGAAATAGAAAGGGAAGGAACACTACAAAGTCATTCTAGGAAGCCAATATTGCAGTCATTCTAAAACCCAAAAAGGATGCAACAAAAAAAGAGAATTATACTCCAATCTTTAATGAATATTGACGCAAAATTCTCCACAACATACTGGCAAACCAAATTCAACAACACATCAAAAAGATCATAAACCAGGATCAAGTCAGTTTCATTTCAGGGATGCAAGCTTGGTTCAAAATATGCAATTGATAAATGCCAATACAGCATATAAACAGAAACAAAGACCAAAATCACATGGCCATCACAACAGATGCAGAAAAAAGCCTTTGACAAAATTCAACATCCTTTCATGATAAAAGCACAAAAAAAACTAGGAATATAACATAACAAAGGCTATATATGACAATAAAGCCAACATTACACTAAATGGAGAAAAATTGAAAACATTTCCACAAAAGTCAAGAACAAGACAAGGATGTTCATTTTACCCACTCTTATTCAATATAGTTTTAGGATTCCTAGCCAGAGCAGTAAGACAGGAGCAAGAAATAAAAGGGATTCAAATAGAGAAAAAAAAGTCAAACTATCCCTGTAAGTCAAACCATCCCTATTTACAGATGATATGATCCTATACCTAAAATACCCTAAAAACTTCATCAAAAAAAGTCTCAGAAATCATGAACACTTTTCGCAAAGTGGCAGAATAGAAAATTAATGTACAATAACTAGTAGCTTTTCTATAAACCAACAATGAATACATTCAGAAAGAAATCAGGGAAACAATAGCCTCAAAAAATAAAATAGGAATTTAATGAAGGAAAAATCAAAGCCCTTGTCAATGTAAACTACAAATCATTGAAGAAAGAAATCTTAGAAGACATCCAAAGATGGAAAGACCTCCCATGCTGATGGATCAGCAGAATCAATATTGTGAAATGGCTATACTACCAAAAGCAATCTACATATTCAATGCAATCCCCATCAAAATTCCAAAGACATTCTTCAGAGAGGTAGAAAAATCAAACCTAAAGTTCCTAAGAACTCACAAAAGGTCTCAAATAGCCAAAGTAATTCTGAGCAAAAAAATCCAATGCTGCATTTATCACAATATCCAACTTCAAGCTATAGTACAGAGCCATAACAATAAAGACAGCATGGTATTGGCATAAAAACAAGACACAAAGACCAGTGGAACAGAAGGCCCAGACATAAATCCATGAAGTAATAGCCAACTGATTTTTGACAAAAGGAGCCCAAAACACATGGTGGAGAAAAGACAGCCTCTTCAAAAAATGTTGCTGGGAGAACTGGATATCCACATGTAGAAGACTGAAACTTGATCCCTTTCACCCAGTACCACTATCAACTCAAAGTGGATCAGACCTTAATGTAAGGCCTGAAACTTTAAACTATAGGAAGTAAGAGGACATACACTGGAACAGACAGGCATTGGGAACGACTTCCTAAGCAGAACTCCGATGGCTCAGCAATTAAGAGAAAAGATCGACAAATGGGACTGAACCAAACTAAAAAGTTTCTGCACAGCAAAGAAAACAGTCACTAGATTTAAGAGACCACCTACAGAATGGGAGATAATCTTTGCCAGCTATTCATCTGATAAAGGACTAATAAACCAGAATCTGTAATGAGCTCAAAAAACTAAACTCCCAAAGAATCAAGAACCCAATGAAGAAATGGGCATATGAATTGAACAGGCAATTTTTAAAGGAAGAGGTACAAATGGCCAATAAATACATAAAGATGTACTCAACCTCCCTGGCCAAAAAAAGAAATGCAAATCAAAACTGCACTAAGATTTCACCTCACCCCAGTTAGAATGGCTATCTTCAAGAACACAAACAAATGTTGGTGAGGATGCAGTGACAGGAACCCTTATACACTACCGGTGGGTATGTAAATTACTATAACCATTATGGAAAGCAGTATAGATTTCTTAAAAAACTAAAAATACAACTACCATATGATCCAATGATAGCACTCCTGGGCATATACCCGAAGGGATATAAGTCAGGATACAATGAGACACTTGTACAACAATGTTTACTGTGGCACTGTTCGCAATAGTCAAGCTATGGGAAACCCAGATGCACTATAACTGGTGAATGGATTAAGAAAATGTGATATATATATATACAATGAAGTTATATTCAGTCATAAGGAAGAATGAAATATGTCATCTGCAGGTAAATGAATGGAATTGGAGGGCATCATGTTAAGGTGAAGTAGGCCAGGTTCAGAAAGACATAAACCATGTTTTCTCTCATATATGGAAGACAGAACCAAAAGACAAAACACACAGAAAATAAACATGATCATATATACATTTATATAGAGAACACGATTATAATAGAACTACTCTCTGGAACTCAAGGGAGGAGGAAAAGGAAAAGAGAATGATAGAGAGTCAACAATATTGAAATGCATCTGTACAGGTAGATGACATAATGATATGTACTGAAAGCTACTGAATAATAAGGTAGGAGTGTGGGGGTAAGGGAGTGTATAGAGGGGGTTGAACTGACTAAAGTATAGCTTTCACAGCTGTGATACACAAAGAACCCCTTTTAAGCACTGACTTTGGAATTAAAAATGGAGGACAGGACTGTAAAATAGGTACTGTGGTTGGAGGGGTACTTGTGGGAGGGAGGAGGGTGAATGGAGGAGATGAAGGTGAAGGAACATGGTTGATGGGCTTCCTATGCACAAGAAATAGAACAATGAAACCTTTTGCAATTGTTTTAAGTGAGAAGGGGAAGGGGTTGAGGAGGGAGATGGTGGGGGTGATCTAACCACTGTACAATGTAAGGTTATTCAGAATTGTCACAATGAATCTCCCCTGTACAATAAATATGTTAATAAAAATGAAAAAACTAAAGCAAATATTGAATTACTTTAATTCAATGAACGCAACAACAGCTATTATAAAACATACTCATACACAAGTAATTCAACTTCTGTTTTATTGCTTACATATGATTGCACAGTGAATTGTTACATTAAAAAACTTCATCATATAACACACATAACAGCAAGAATAAGACAAATAAGTTCCACTTTCATACAAGAAGAAAAGAAACATTTGGGGAGTGGGAAGTTCATTGCTGGTAAAGTGTGATATTACTCTAAAAGATAATGAGTTTAGAAGTATTAATGAAGTTGTGTGTCAAAGTAAATCACAATTAAATTCTATATAAGCAGCCACAGACAACATAAGTATAGGAGGAACATTTAAATGTTAACTGTACAAGGTCCCACAAAAGAATAATAAGTGACTGTATATAGCAAAAAAGAGAATGATTAACAATTTATTTCCAGTTTTACATATCTACCAAATTATAGCAGTACAGGAACTTCAACAAATCCTAAACTTTCAGTATCTTCCCTGGCTACAACATAGTACACACCTAACCTACTCCCTGCAGAATTTCCTGCAGACATGGAAGGATCAGCCAGAGAAAAGAGCCATTTCTTATGAATCCTTGTCAGTGATGCCAGTTCAATCTACTGGATCTAGGATATATGGAAGTATACTGTGATTTAAAAATAACAACAAAACCTCCCTCACAAAACCAAAATCAACAGTTTACAAAAACCAAGAGAAAGGTATGAGAAATGGTCTTTCTTTACATGCAAATACATGCATTTTTAAATCACTTGAGAGAAATGAAATTTTGTAGAGCCTTTTGGTTTGCATGAGTGCAAATGAATATGTATCTTTTCTTAAACTATCAAATTACATATATATATATATATATATACTTTTTCCATACAAAAGGACACAGTGTTAATTTATAAAATGACATCCAAGTGGATGATTATTTTTGCATGTCCCCCTGTTTAGATTTTAAATGCAGTCAAAATTTAATATCCTTCTTTAGAAATACAGAAGAAAAAAGGGAAATTAAGAAAAAATACAGAAAACTTGGTTTATTAACTAGTGACACATTTTACCTGAATGAGGGGAAGTTACAGTGGCAGCTGTAATAGGATCATTTGGTCCTCCAGTGGTGACTGTGTTGTCAGTGGGACAATCAACAGCCCTGGATGTTTCAGTGTCATTTTGTATTTTTAAGCAACTAGACTCTTTTTCAAGATGTTGTACTTTGATTTATTCAAAAAATTTAAAAAGTTTGAGCATACCTGTCCTAGTATCATTTCCTGAATTTTTTCTGTTTCTATTAATGGCGCTCAAACAACCATAAACACAAAGTTAAAACATTCCACTCTTCACTTCAGTTCTTCAAACAAAACAAAAGCCAAAACTGAATTGCTTTTTGAGCTAATATATATATATAACATATATATATATATATGTTTTATATATATATGTTATATATATATATATAAAATTTCTTTTTATGTAAAAAGAAATTGAACCTGAAAAGGTAGAACTATCATCAAGTGATTTTATAAAAATGTCCCAAGAGAAATAATTGCAAAATAAGTTGTTCATTTTCATCATGTGATGGAATTCCCTAAAATACACAAATGCAGACTGCCACTGTGATCTTGGAAGCTGAAAGCAAAAGTAGTTCATGTTGACACAACTTAGTTACTTGACTGCTAAAACACAGGCACTCTTTTTGAATACCATGTAATCCTAAACACAGATGCATATGCTTTTTTGCTCAAATCTTAAAAATTGAATTTCACTTGGGGAATTATTTGACCTATGAAGATTTAAACACTGCACAATATAAAAATGTAAATTAATGTGCTTTTAATAAAAACTGAAATGTACAGACTCCTCGCAGGTGAACCAGTAGCTGCTTTAAACGTCTTTCTTTTCTATACTAAATCTCTTGTCTATATATCTATCTATCTATATATATATAGATATGCATATCTATATATATTTCATTTTACTAATGGAGCCAGAGCAAAATACTTCTATAGTTTCAAAACATAGCCTGTAAACTAATACATCTTATGGTGTAAAAAAGTATTGCACAGTTCGTTACTCCAAGAGTAAGCTCTAAGCTTCTCAAGTGGTCATACTCTCATCAGAAAACACGGTATTACAAGAACCAGACACCTTAATGTATGGCGACTTTTGAGGTTATAATCCAGGAATGTTTTTCAATAGATGTCTTTGTACCATAAATACATTAAGAAATGCCTATCACACACTCTTACAGTAGGGGCTGGAGGGATGCCTATCAATTTAACAATCTAGTTAAACCTGGGTATTGAAAGCAACATGACAGTTTTGCAACCCCCAGAGTAGAATATAATTTACTTTTGCAGATTACCAAAAACAAAGCAATTCTATTTCTAGGCAGTTGTGTAGATGTTTATGAAATACAGTAGACACTTCATACATTTTCAATTCTTTCTAAAAAAATTATGTTTGTGAAAAGCTTAAAACAGACTTCAGCAAAGAAATAACATGAGGCCAGTACACATTTTGTTGAAAAGCTAACAGGAACCTCAAAACGAATTGACATGACACAAACCTGTCCTCAAAATACTCTGAATCATATATAGTTCCCGAACTCCTCCTAAAGTATGCCAAGCATTTGAATAAAGAGAAAATTGATCATGATTTTCTAAAAAGTATGTTAATAAGCCCTAAGTAAACCCTGAAAGTTCAGGTTGGCCTTGATTTTTAGGCTTTAAAATCCTATGCTGGGATTTTACACAGCTCACTCAGTACACACACAGATCTGGAAACTTCATCTCATAGACTGGGACAGACTGGTACTGGGCATGTCCTGAAGTAATGGTCAGTGTTCCTGATGGACTGGGAGGAGGACTGTAAAAGAAGAACATGGCATTGTCAACAAGTGTATTTAAAATTTGCTCATTTCACAGAGTTGTTTATCTACTACCTGCAAACAGCAAAGGCAGATGCCTTTATTGCATTCAGTGCAATGGAGGTGCTGGCCAGCTATGAGGCTATATGGACAACAGACTTAGAATGGTGCTCAGCTGCTTTAAGTCGAAAACATTTTCCTATGTGAGTATATACACATGTGTGTACATATACATATATGATTTTCACAATGGGATTGTACTTTTATGAGCTGCTTTTTGTCACAAGCAAAAATCTTTTATACACGGTGCATTATCCTTACTGGTGACAGTATGGTATTTCATCATCTGGATATGTCATTTATTTAATCCACTGGACAAATTCAGTGTCATTTTCATCATTATAAATAAATAATGTTCACAAGTCTATTCTTTTGTGTAAGTAATTTTATCCTATTTATTTTCTTAGTTAATAGACAAAGTAAAATTTCTGGATCAAAATGGATTCAGAATTTTGACTCTGCTCCATATTTCTGCCAATTTACACTTTTAGCATTTGAGTACACCTGTTCTGTTATACTGTAATAAACACTGGATATAGTAATTTTTTTTATAACTTTGCCAATCTGGAAGGCAAGAAAAGAATTCATTCCTATTTTTATTTTCAATTTTTGAGTTACTATTATTGATGAACATATTTTATGTTTCTTTAAATGTGTAACTTACTCATTTGAGTCCACACCTGTATTCCTACTCAGATATTTTTCTCATCAATTTGGAAAACTCACCTTTTGTTATATATTCAAATACTTTTCTCTAATTCATTATTTAATTCTCAACTCTTGTTCTGGCTAATCTTACACACACAGCCAATTTCCTTGTCAGTTTTTGAGTTATGGTAAGAATCTCCCCTGATAAGACTAAAAAAAAATCCTGAATAATTTCTAGTATTTCTATATACTTTTCTATACAAAGAGTTGGGTTTTCTGTTAAGTAGTCTGTGGCTGTTATCCAAACAAGATTAAGTGAACATTTGTTCTTTTCTTTGAAAATCTGGAAGCCATAGATGCTTCTTAGTTCTGAATTTTCCTCTACTTTACTTACTTGTACCTAAAGCCAATCCATTAAAAGTACGAAAGATCTGGCAGCATGTTTTTCTAACAAGGAGGGCAAACGTGCCCTGTTTTTTTTCCCAAAGCATTTTCCTCGCCTTCCTGCATACGGATTCTTTCACACTGCCCTTAGCATCATTTGTTCAAATATACACACACAAAAAAATTTTGTGACTATTTTGACCAAAGCAACAGATTAATCTGCAGAGAAGAGATTCTATTCAGGGACAAAGTTTAAGTTTTCATTTTTATAAATATTCTTAAATAAAGAGACTAATAGTTAAGAGATTCATAGTTACTTCCTAAGTCCTACAAATATGGTTCATTGCATTTGTTAGTATTTTAGTTATGGCTCTTTTCATTGATTAATAACATGCACAAATATTAACTGCTTATAGCTACTTTTAATTGTAAACGATCCTCAATTAAGTTATTCAGCTGGCTCTCTTATATTTTCCTGATGTATTAAGTTTTGATAACTAAAAATACTTTTTCAACTGCTCCAGTATTTATAATATATATCCCTTTAATGTTTTATTAAGGCTTAAATTTCAGAGTGAAATACACAGGTCTTAGGTTTACCATTTGATAAGTGACACATGTAAATCATAGCACAATAAAGATACTGAATAATTTCATCATCTAAAAAAGTTCAAGAAAAAGTAACATTAATCTTCAATGTCAGAGATTACAGCCTGGTTGTTGGATGTGGGTGTACCTGTGGGTATGTTACAGTGGGTAAATACTGACTTGTTAGGAACCCAAAGAAACTGTATTTGTGTCCTTTAAATGGCCACTCCAGTTGACTGAAACTATTCAGATCTTGTGTATCATTTCTGAATTCTCATTTTCTTACATTTTTATTAGCATAAAGGGGTCTCACTGTGATATAGTTACATGTAATATACTTTGACCTGCTCACTCTGTCTATATTACTCTTCTTAAACCCTCTCTCTTATCCATCCTCCTTTTTAACAGTTTTTAGTGTTTCATTTTGCTATGTTCATTCTTTTATGTAACTTCAATCATGGTTATGTTTTAATACCTGTACTAATACATTTGTTAAAAATTGCAAGTATAATACTGCAAGAAATAGAAAACTACAGTAAGAATAAGCAGCAATAAGAGCATATTATTCACATGTAGTTATTTTACTATTGCTTTGCATTTTCTTGTATTTTTTTCCTATACTCAGGTCACAATGAATGAAAGATCAATGTGGACTGAAGTACAATATTGTTTGCTTGGTTTCTTTTTGGAGAGCACAGACTCTTTCCTCTGGCTGACTAGGGTAAGGCAAATGACTGGGAAAATGTAACAGATAGTGCTGAATAGCTACACTGTGTATGTTCAGTTTAGTCATTCTGTATTGTATAAGCCATGCCAGAACTACTACTTCCCAGCTAAATGATGTTGGATAAGCTACCTAACCTCTATGAACCTTTTTGCTCCTGTAAGAAGAAAAACCACTTTTTACATCTATGGTAAATAATAAATGAAATAACGCACTTAGCAAAGTGTCTGTAACATTTAAGTGTTCAGTAAGTGCTAACTGCTACTGATAAAGTGTTCAACGCAGGCTAAGAAGTAGTGGCTGAAGTATCAATAAGCGAAAACTATTCCTGTTACTTCTTCTAAAATATTAAATCCATAAATTAGATTGATGTGACTAAATGTGACACAGTGATCCATCTAGAGCAACACTGCTTGTAAGGATGTGTTGTGGATGTGAATTTTGACTTTTTGTCACTCACTAGGTGCATTATCTTCAGCAAGTTAGTTTAATTCTCTAACTGCTGGTGTCTCACTTGGAAAATGAAAGGGATAGCATCTACCTACTTTCCAGGACTGTGGTGGGGATTAGCAGAAATAAATGCTATAAGGCACATAGCATAAGACAAAGTACACAGTAGATACTTGGTATTACAACTAACAGATAATGAAGTAAATGCCCTTAATCAGCAATTCTCCCTGAAAACAATGTATATAGCATATTATATATTTTAGTTCAATTCTCTGTTCTGAAATTTTGTAGATGAATAATTATCTACTTAGTAGGAACTGCAGGAATGGTGAAGTACCTTGAACAAGTTCTGATACTCATGAAAATGTACCTTGCACAAGAAAGCAGCAAAGAAAGTAAATTTAAAAATAAATTGTGGTGGGTGTGCCTATAATCCCAGCACTCAGGAGACTGAGGCAAGAAGATCTAAAGTTCCAGGGCAGCCTGGACTAGACACTGAGGACAATGCTATCTCACAAAAATAAACAAACAAATAATCAAATGAACTAGAACATTTATCACTTACAAGTAAGAAACTAAAGCAAAACAATTAATCAAGTTAAGAAAGATGTAGCTAATGTAGAAAAAAAAAAAAATTCCAGACACATGGATTATGTGTGGCTCCTTTACTTGGTCATCTTACCAAAAGGCAAATTTCCACTCTGAAGTCCAACTATGTGGACTTTCCTTCTATACAGGAAAACTACAAAGTGACAGATATAATGTAAGAATGCTCAAAGAAAGCCAGTGATTCTCTTGAGCCATCTGCCCTGGAAACAAGGTTAGGCTGACATAATAAACTGCAGTTTGAGTATGTCTAATCAGTTCAAGGAACGTTAGAATGTGGATCTTCCAAGCTACTTAGATGTCCTTCTAGGACCAGTCATAGAGGGATAACTGGTCTAAGAGAAGATTCTACAAAGCTACGAAAGCCAGAAGACAACAGACTAAAAAAGGGATCAGACTCCACCTGGTACACAGAATGACTGCTGCATGATTTTGTTTGCCCTCAATGAAAAGGACAATTACTTAAACACAACCAGCCACATTTATAGGGGTCTACTACTTTCTATTTTGTTGTTGGTGCTGCTGTTGTGGTAACAAACCCTTACCGTATGGTGAGTTCCAATATTTGAGCAAGTCTATCATGAAGGAAGTTTGCCTGAAAAGGAGGGAAAAAAAGAAGGAAGTTTATAACTTTCCAAATACCCAATAATATGAATGTAAAGTAAAGCAACTATCAAGCTGATATTAAAGAATGTTTTAATATTTTGGGTTGATCTGTCTCATCCATTGAAATGTAATGTAAGAATTCCCTTTTTTTTTTTTCCCTTTTCTAGTCTTATTGCTAAAAAAAAAAAAACGAGTTGACAAACATACCCACAGTAAATCACTGAAAAGCACTGAGAAAAAAGTATCAAAGTAACAACAGTCATTAGTATCTAGTTTGGGATCTGCCATTTTCTTCGGGTTCATCACATAAAGAAATTTGGGCTTCAGCAATGTCTTCCATCCCTGCTCACTACACTCTCCTGTGCTTGAGTGATGTGCCTAAAGGTTGGAACTTACCAACCAATTACTAAGAAAGAGTGTCATAGGACCCCACCCCACCTCCACCTCCTAGCCACCTGCTGTGCACTTACCTTAGATTCACACTGTGCTGCTATTTCTTCAAAAGGTGCTTTCTGGAACTTCTCTATCACAAGACGCCTCTTTTCCTTTTCCTGCTCTTCCATTCCGCTGGTATCTATGTAAGTATTTATAAAGAGCCGTTAAAAGAACTGTAGCTCATAAAATCCTGTCAATGACCATAAGATTTATATAAACCAAAAGCAAGTGCAATTTAAAGGCCTACTTTTAGAAAGAAAAAAGCAAAATACACGACACTTTAAAAATATCTCACTTAAGGCTAGAAATCACACATCAAAAATAAAAAATCTATACGTTAAAAGCTACACCGCACAAGATCCGCTTTCAGAGAATATCTTTGTCAGTGAGGGGAGAGAGAGAGAGAGAGAGAGAGAGAGGGAGAGAGAGAGAGAGAGACAGAGTAAGTGAGGGAATGAAGGGAGGGAGCGGGAGGGGGAGGAAGAAAGAAGCTTTTTACAAGTGAAGTAACTCTTGGGTCTTTCCTGATTTGTAACTGTGCCCTTGCACATAGGAAATTCTAAGTATCTGCTAAACTGAATCTTGATATTGAGTGGAATAAATGAAATACAGATAGGATCATTTGAACCAAGCTGTTTAAATCTTACCACAACTTGAAAAGGATTTTCTTTTTAATCTTAAGATGATGAATGATCTGGCAAAAGTCTGTGAGATAGCAAAATTACAAATGCCTATCGTTTTATACCAGTGTTTAAAAGGTATAACTCTTTTTTACTTGCTTAAGAATACAGAGATGATGAGGTAACTTTTATATACCAAGAGCATTTTCTTCTTTTTCTTATTTTCTTCAAGCTCTCTCTACTTATTTTAGCATCTAAAAAAGTACCAAAGTGAAGATGCGTTAAGTTTCAGGAGAGCAAAGAGTGCATGATATCTCACCAATTGCTTTCTTCAGTGCTTCAAAGGTGATTTCTTCAGTGTTACTAACCTAGAGGAAAGTGATTTTAAGTAAAATAAAAGAGTTCAGAAAAGTCAATGTAAAAAATAACTTTCAATAGCTTGAAGTCACCTAAAAAGTTCCACCATTCATTTTCTCTTCTTTGTGTTGGCCTGATTTCCGATTGTACTCCACATAGCAAATACTCCCCACCTTCTCACTGTCGGAACAATGGCCTACTACAGTGGCTTCCCAAACAAGTGTGCAGCTGGGCCTTCTAAGATCAGTCAGCCCTGCCTCCACAGCTCAACCGCCCCTAAGTGACAGAACACAACCTTCAGTACTGCGATGTGCAACAAGATCTGAGGCCCACTGACTGAACTGCGTTTCCTAAGTGAACAAACGCTTTAAACATTTAAGGCTGAGATTACATATAAATACGTTTTTAGCTATGAGGAAAATATGAACCAAGTATTCTACAGCCTCTATAATTTCATTGCTACATATGGTTTATAAATCAAATATGAAATAACCTAAGATTTTAAAAGGCTTTAAAGTAAGAATCACTATTTTGGGAAGTGTTCATCTTAGAATAAGCATATTCTACCTTCTAAGGTCAACTACCAAGTTCTTCTTATTTTTTTTTTTTAAGTACCCTTTAACTTGGGCTCACAAAATCTCTTTAAGATAGGTAAAAAGCATAGTCAAATGTTTTATGATTTAGAAAAGTTAATACTTCTTGTGATGAAAGTACAATAGTATTTCTTGTAGCATGTAGCACATTCTCAGAAGGAGTACTATATCCAATTACTATAGCACCTCTGACTAAAAATCAAGAAACAACACACAAGTACTTGCCTGGTGCTTTGGTCACCCCTAATTTTAGCTCATGATCTTCTTTTGCTAAGTCTAAGGCAGAAAGACTAATGAAAGCAAAACACTGTATGCTCTGCTAGTTAGCGTCTATGCAATAAAAAGGCTTTAGCTCAAAATAAAGCAATAAGAGTTCCACTACCTCAGTTTTTCTACTGAGGGTTGACATTTCTAGTTGAAGTCAGATTAAATTTAGGAATCTTCAGTTGCTTTCTTCTAGATATTTGGAGCAGACATATAAGATTAGGTACTGGCTGGTTAATTATTTGTACCTATAAGCAATCTAGAACGTTAACAAAAGAATAACTTGTTCTTAGACTTGGCTTATAGCTTCACATTTTTAAGAAACAACTTTAGTACAGGGCAAAGAATATGGGAGAAATTAGAAGGCCGGCATTCCCATTCCATTAAAAAAGTTTCACTTATTAAAGTCTGAATAAGAATTCACCATTAACTGCTGAGTAAGTAATTGATGTGAATTTCTCCTACCCATTCTATGAAATGAATTAGATTTTGCCTACAAGGTAATTTTGTCCTCTCTTCTGGAATCTGAACATGAGACCCCACAATGGCTACCGAGTTTGAAATTCAAATGTGTTCATCTAAAAGTGACACTAAATCGCACTTTTGAGATGCAAAGTTTGAGACATACTTGACTTAGGGCTTACAACAAACAGGAAACAAAATCTTCAAAAAGCTAGTAAGTGTATTTTAATGTAAAATTCAAGAATCTTGGCTGGGCATACTGTCCATGCATGTAATCCCACTCAGCACTCAGGAGGTAGAGATGGAGGATGAAGGATGAGGAAGGAGAATTGTGAATTCAGGGGCAGCCTAGGCTACATAGCGAAACTCTCAAAAAGACAAAAAAAAACCACACAAACAAGAAAGAATCTTCCCCCTATATTCATTCATGCAAATGGCTTTTCAGTCAGTCCATTTTATCCAAATCCACGGATTCTTTGTGACAGTTTCAAGTGCCAGATACATACTTTTGAAAGAAATAAAGAGTTAGCAAAAAAAAGAAGGGAAAAAAATACCAGTCAATAAAATATATTGCACTCTTTTTATTCCACTTTTTTCTTTGGTTTTTGCTTTAACTTTTAGGTAGGATCTCATGTTTAGCTGGGGGCTGGTCTCAGACTGTGATCCTTCTATCTCTGGTCATAGCTGGGACCAGAGGTATGTACCACCACACCTGGTGTGGCCTAAAATTTTGCCTGGGTTGGCCTCAAACTGTGATCCTCCCGATCTTTGCCTGCCAAGTAGCTGGGATTACAGGCATGAGCCCATGGTGCCTGGCCTATACTGTGCTTTTGAGAAAATTAAATCTATAAAACAAGGCTTTAAATGAATTTCTTTCCTCAAAAGGTAACAATAGCAAATTCACAGTGAACTGAGTTAATTAAGGTGGCTTTGAAGAAAAGGGTGAATTTAGGGAGAATGATTTTTCTTAAGCTTAAATTGGTAAGAGACTTTAATCAGCCTTAAAATGCCCTAAGTTTCAAAATAAACACTGTCTCTTGAACTACTCCTGATGCTCTAATAACGTCTAAATAAAAATGATTAATTCTAAATATCAGGGAACTGAATGGCATAGAAAATGTAAGTTAGCTGGATGTTCTCTGACCACTAAATAACTTTAACTTCTGAAAACAAATGAACTGAGAGAGACTGGAAGGGGTGGGAAAGAAAGGAGGCTGAGAAAGCATGAATTGAGACAACTTCCTTCCAACATATCTTGTATGGATATTTCTTTAATTACTGATGATGCACCAAGATGAAATAATGAAATACCTAGAAAAGCAAACAATGGATAAACACAAGGAGGAGGCTGACTTGACGGTAGCATTTCAGCATTTTTACTTGGCTATCATAAAATTCTGTGGTGACTTATGCGTAATTAATCCTGAGAACACTGGTTGCTTTTTCTTCTTTAACTCTCCTGTTTCTTGTGCTCCTCTGAAACAGGAGAACATTAAGTCTATGATGTTTCAAACAGCTACAGTCCTTTAAGAGTGTATTGCTTTCAATGCACTCTTAATCTATATCATTACATTTACTGACCAAAGTGATAAAAATGTTCTCTTACAGGTGAAGCTTTAAAGTTTACTGAAGGGAGTGAGAATTTGGCTTCAGAGTTACATAGTTCCATTTCTTTCTGTGATTTATACTTCATGAGTTAAAAAAAAATAAACAGGCTTTAGCTTAATAACAGGCCTTGTATAACATCACTGACTTACAAAAAATCCCTTACTTCTGTTTTATAGTTCCTTTTATTACACTGTGAATTATAATGCAAAAATCTAATATAATGTTAAGTTTATGTATCTTTACAGACAAACAGTTGAAATGAGTTCATTAAATTATAAGTAACAGGGTAAATGACATTAATTTTTTACTAATAATTTAGTATGGGAAAAATTCAGAGTTGTAGTTTCTCCTATTGATAAGTTTGGAGGGCAAAAATTTCTTGTAAGTAATGTCTTATCTCAAGACAATACTCTACCATCAACTTCCAGTAACTTACCACATCATCAGAAGGAATGCTACTGGGTAAAATATCCACCTGAATGGATACAGTGTCCACAATACTTTTTCTTCTAGAAAGACGATCTTCATCTAAAATAAAAAATGTTTTCCTCCATTATTTGTTATGTTTCAGAATGTTGTTTATAAAGTCTTACCTCACATTCCAAAAAAATTTAGAAAATTAATATCACTTTTGCTCTTCCCTAAATATATAAAGCAGTGTGTTCTCAGACATTTAAAAAGGTTTTATTTTTAGTTGAAAATAATAATTGCATACATTTATGGGGTACAATGTGATGTTTTGATACATGTCAACATCAACATAACATGTAAGGAAGAATGTAGATAATTAAAACTAGATATATTCAGCCTAATCGAAACTCCACAATATTGGCATGGTATCTCTAACTTTTCCAAAAAAACAGTAGAAGTAGTTAACTAACTCTACTTCTACGCTGGTAGTTTGTATGCCAAACACTCCAAGTGTTTGGAGTGAATGAAAGAATCTGCTGATTCAATTAACCTCTCCCCTTCTACCATTTCCAGTCACTCATCTCTAGTGGCTTTTGCTCTTTTGCTTTATAACTCCACCACATGCCTGGAAAACCTCTCTTTACTTCAGAGTTTCAACAATCTATTTTTGCAAACTTGTTGGCACAGCCTAAACAAACTGGTCTAACTTTTTGCCGTTGACTCCTGTGAAGCTTTGTAATTACAATCCCACCCCAACCACTCCTCTCTTCCAATCTCTCAATTCCATAGCAATTCCTAATCCATTTTCTGCTTAACTACACCATGAAAATTTGATTTGTTTGATTAGAACCTACCTCCACATGTTCCTTTCAACTACTTTTCTACTTCAGCATTCAATATTCAACAAATCTATTAAGTGATCAGAAACTATGTTAGATGTTATGGACAGATTGGTGAGTACGGAGCCCACATCCTCACATACTTTACAGTCTAACAGAAGACAGAAAATAAAATCACACAAATAGTAAAGTGTGATGGAGAAGTACAGGATGATGGGAGAACATCTAATAACCATGGTTACATCAGAAAAAAGGAAGGTATGTTGTGCATTCCAATACACAAAATTAGAGGCTTGTTCAACCCTTGCAGAGCTGAGTGAGTAAAAATGAGAGCCATCAGACATTTTTGACCTGCAGCTTGGAACTAGGTAATTCTCAAGAAGCTTCTAGGAGGCTACTTAAAAAGCTAGACATCGATCTACCATTTGATCCAGCAATACCACTCTTGGGGATATACCCAAAAGACTGTGACACAGGTTACTCCAGAGGCACCTGCACACCCATGTTTATTGCAGCACTATTCACAATAGCCAAGTTATGGAAACAGCCAAGATGCCCCACCACTGACGAATGGATCAAGAAAATGTGGTATCTATACACAATGGAATTTTATGCAGCCATGAAGAGGAACGAAATGTTATCATTCGCTGGTAAATGGATGGAACTGGAGAACATCATTCTGAGTGAGGTTAGCCTGGCCCAAAAGACCAAAAATTGGATGTTCTCCCTCAAAATGTGGACATTAGATCAAGGGCAAACACAACAAGGGGATTGGATTTTGAGCACATGATAAAAGCGAGAGCACACAAGGGAGGGGTGAGGATAGGTAAGACACCTAAAAAACTAGCTAGCATATGTTGCCCTTAATGCAGAGAAACTAAAGCAGATACCTTAAAAGCAACTGAGGCCAATAGGAAAAGGGGACCAGGAACTAGAGAAAAGGTTAGATCAAAAAGAATTAACCTAGAAGGTAACACACACGCACAGGAAATCAATGTGAGTCAATGCCCTGTATAGCTATCCTTATCTCAACCAGCAAAAACCCTTGTTCCTTCCTATTATTGCTTATACTCTCTCTACAACAAAATTAGAAATAAGGGCAAAATAGTTTCTGCTGGGTATTGAGGGGGTGGGGGGGAGAGGGAGAGGGCGGAGTGGGTGGTAAAGGAGGGGGTGGGGGCAGGGGGGAGAAATGACCCAAGCCTTGTATGCACGTATCAATAATAAAAGGAAAAAAAAAAAGAAGCTTCTAGGAAGATTCAAGTCTGTTGTCTATTCACTAGGATGTCCACACCAATCTATGAATGATAGCAGTTCCTCCTCCTCTGTTTTCATGGTGCTAAGTTGACTCCTGTTCTACGCCCATCCCTAAAAGGGATCTAGTAGACTAAGATCAAAACCTAGTTGAGAAAGATACAGTATTTATGCAGCTTTGTGACCTATCTTGCTCATTCTTGCTTCTGTTTGCACAGCAGCGGGCATACTGAATGTACTCATTAAATACTTCAATAACTACATGTCTACCTCTAGCTACTCATACTTCTAAATGTTCCAGTTGAGAGGTTATTACTCTTCCTTCCTCATAGAGTGGTATTTAGTACTTTTCCTAGACATACACTATTCATTCAAATTCTACACTGACAGGAGGTAAGAGAAAAAAATGCAATAATCAGTTAAGAGTTATTGACCACATATTATATGTCAGGCACCAATAGTTTACCAAACTTTAGGAAGATCATTATTCTTTCTCTAGAACCAGTTTTCATTTATTCTTCTGGCCTCCTCAACAGATTTTAAATTTTTGAGGATGGAGACTGCATCTTAAGATCTTTGCACTATCCTCCAAAAGTGCCCGATCTGTATTAGGCATTAAGATTTAAGAAAAAAATGAAAAAAAACATCAATCCTGATCCTTCTGGATGCCTGAACAATGTTAAGGCTCATGAAAAATAAGAGAATGAAGTACTTTTCTAAACTGAACAGACAGGCAGTTAAATTTAGTTGCCATCTAATCTAATTACTTAACATCAGTCTTTCTATCCTCCAGGGCAAGAAAGGTCCTTTGGTCACCACACTATTTTAAGGATTAAACAAGAATATGCATACCAAGTGCTTATCTCAGTGCCGGGCATACAATAATGATACCTGGCAGCTACCACTACAATGATGATGGGTGTTGCATGATACCCAACAAACTAAAAATACTGTGCTTTTACTTTTGTTATACTGTTCTTAACTCCCTTCAATTTTTAGAATGAACATCAGATGGTTATATAGCAAAACAAAATGCAGTAATTGATCGTGTATCCTATACTATGGCATAGCTTCTTCTGATCTCTTCTGCATTATGCAGGATACATGTGCCACAGGCTGGGTCTAAGTTGTAAAAGAATTTATAAATCAGAAAATTTTCATTTATACCCTGTGATTCCTGTTCAGTTATATAATTAGGTATATACTGAAATGTTCACACTCTTTCTAGAGGTGCACTATAAAAGAGAATATGTCCATTTTTTAGGGGTGGGAGGAACTGAGAAAGAACAAATCACCTATTTAAAAAATGTATCAGAACTTTCACTAGCAGGAGTTAAAGCAATGGGGAAAAAGGAAACAGAAGAACAAAAGCTGTGCCAATAAGGAAGGTAGAGCAAGATAATAATCAAATTTATAACTATATAAAATATACAGGCCACTGGCTCTATTTTCTAAAAAGCACATCTAGTGAAACTATTTTTCTAGCATACAGGTAAGGGAAAGGACCAGTCACATTAACAGCTGGATTTACCTTTGTACTTGTGCCTGAGTTTATGAGGTTTTTTGCCTGAAGGAAAAAGAACTAAATCTAAAGTAAAGAATGTAAACTCTTAAAAAAGAAAACAACTACCTTAAATGACAAAGACCTACCATTCTTTCTTTTTTTTTCTTTTTTAAATTTCCTCCCCTCCCCCCTCTACCATTCTTTTTACTTTTTTGAGACAAGGTCTCACTATACAGCTCAGGCTGACCTACAACTAACTCACTATATAGAGCCCAGGCTGGCCTTGAACTTGTGATCCTTCTGCCTCAGCTTCCTGAGTGCTGGGATTACACATGGGAACCACCATACTCAGCCGTCTACTAATGTTTTATTCTTACCACTTTTGTTTTGAAGAAATTAATGAAAACAATCTTTTAAACATGAAATTTTAAGGAAAAAGAAAAAGCATTAACATCTCAGACTAATAAGCTACCATGGTAAGAAATGTGTATATTTGGGCTCTGTGTCATAAAGAAGACAGTTATTTAAAAGACTGTGCAACTTTTAGTGATTAATCTAGAAAATTATTTAACTGAAATCAAATAGTTCTCTTATAGAACAGAGGTATTCCCAAAGGAAGAACTTCTACCAAATTTAATATTCATATACTCATCAACGGAAAATGAGAATAAAAGAAATTCTTTGATTTTAATTTTTAAAGCAAAAATTGAATGCAAGGCACCATGTAGTTTTTCCTTCCAACACAAAGTAATTATTTCAGACAATGGAAAGAACAGAAGAAAATATATATAGTTCACACCAAAAAAAATTTCCAATGTAAAATTTTGCAGGTTTCTTTACATAGCATTCTATACTCTTTCAAATGATAAAAGTTTCCTAATTCATTAAGCTCAATAATCACAAATCACTTAGCAACCATATAAAAAGCACTTACAAGTTAATTTTTATAAGTACACTTTTTTAAAGTGACAGCTTCACCTCATTTCTTTGTTTAAATGAAAGTAGCAAGCATTATAACATGAATGCAATAATAAGCTAAGAATAACAATGAACTCTTCCTTGATGTGCTTATGGTAAAACCGTATCTATATGTTTAGAGAGATTTACTAAGTCTTCAAAAGTAAAACTTAAAATAATACTATTTAAAACAGCTAAAAAAAAGGCTGTCACATAGTAACTACATATACCAAGAATTAATTTTCATTACTATGCAATGAGAAATCATTGAAAAAAAACTACTGAAATCTATTATAGAGTAAGAGTTTATAACTTTTTCCCTCTTACCTGTTACTTGTGGTACGTATGGTACTGACAATCTCTCAACACTATATCCACTTCCACCTAGTGACTCTGCAATCTTGTTAGTCAGAAAGTACAAATTCTTTTCATTCTTCTCTAAAGACTTTGGAATCCTGTAAGGTTGATCAAACAACAACCATTCAGTATTAATTCCTGAGCAAAAGCAAAACATTCTAGAGCAAAAGCTTCAATATTCTAAATGTTAACACAAACTGTATTGAATAACAGAAAAATCTGTGTATTTTAGTGATTAATCTGAGCTCTTCAAAAGCACATGGTATGTGGTTCCACATATAAATGAACCATGCTGCTATGATTCTTCTCCTACTCTCATATTCCACTAGTGAATCCAGCCTTTGCTGATATTTGAACATTAAAAGATGAAGAACACTAAATTCAGCTTTTACTTTCATGATAAGTAAAAATCTACTGAGAGGAAAAAGTAAAAACACAGCTGACTATCAATGAAAACCTCATCAGCCAGGTAAGTGCAATGAAGGTCAAGCCTTGCTTGAGCAAAGTGCTTTCCTTTCACAGTGTGGGTCTTATCCCATGCTGATGCTTTCAGTTTCAAACTTCTTTTAGAGACCAAAAGTGTGAATCAAATATGGGAGTATTATTATTCATACATTTGTTTTTTGATGAACAAGGAAGAATACAGGGAATAATGTATCAATTTCTCCTTTTCCGTGCCTCACAACTATGAGTATTATAATTTGAAAGTCTTCAGCAGGATATCACATTCTCTTAAGGGAGTGCTCATTTGTATGAGAACACACACACAAAATGCTATTTAAGAGATCCATCCCCACATGTTAAAAAGTAGGAAGCAACTTTGTGTTTTCCACTTGTTTTCAAGATTGCCACCATCCATGTGTGAACCTACACTTATAAAGTGTAAGAACTTTATTAAGCAATTAAGTTAGAAAAATGACAAAAACACAAGGCAATGATTATTATAAGCACCCAAAAAACACTACAACAACAGTTTACTTCTTTATAATCTTCACATGTTGGTTTCTCTAGTCAGCCCTTCCATAAAATGTAAAGATTTAACGTACATGCACTTATCTCTGAAAATATGCTCTGGAAGAAAATAAGGGGCCTCCACAGTTCGAGTTTCAATAACCTGGAAAATGTCCAAACACAAAACAAAACCAAAATCATAATTTCACCTCTTAGGACTCTGCAATCAAAATTTGGAAAACAACAAAATCAAAATGAAAAATAAAGAAAAAACCCTTTAGACATTTATATGAAATAAAATCAATTTTTTCTAGAATTCAAGCTAACAGCCCAGAGACATCGTTCATTTTTTCCACATTTATTCTTTTAAAAATTTAGCAGTTAGCAAACTTATGACAAAAAACACCTTAACCTACTACAAACAAATAAGAATATGTATTTTCTCAAAACCACTATTTGGAAATCCCTTGTGAATCAGCATCCTCCACCTTTTGAGCACAAGTCTTAATGGAGGAGTTGTGCAGTCAGTTCCTGCCCTCATCTGTGAGTGACTTACTCTGCTTTCCTAATATTTGAGTGTCTAATTGTAGGCATCGACCATTCACTCAAATGCATGTCTAATGAATGAATAAGTTTTATTTCTCAGAAAGCAATAAAAACCTACATTTTAGAGAGAACTGAAAGATGTGCTTCCAGTTTCATAAAAATGAGATTCTTAGACAAATGTGTTCAATAGTGGTCTTTTTCGATCATGTATGTTAGAAACCCTCAAGTGCATATGAAATTATGAGTATTAATATTGTAACCCAGCTAATACTAAATTACACATAGTCCAGGGACAGAAACGGTACCCAGTGGAAACATGAGAAGAAAAAAAAGGGATGGAAGCCATTCTCGCCACCCCCCCACCCCGAAAAATAAAGTAGTACAGGATTTAGAGCGAAATGAAGAAAATGGATACCCAGATCCAGACTCCAACAAAACAAAATAAACTATACTGAGGAACCCAAGGAAGGCTACAAGAACATTCTAAAAGAAGAAATCCTACAAGTAATTAATGAGAATTTCATAGAGATGTTCCTAGACATGGTCAACCAAAATGTAGAGGAGGCACTCAAGAAATTCTAAGACAACAAAAATAAAGAATATGAGAATACACAGAAACAAATAAATGAAATCATAGGAGCCCTAAATAAACACCAAACTGAAAGAGAGATCACCATAAACAGAAAGATAAATGAATTAAGGGTGAAAATTGACAATATTAAAGAGGAAGTAACACCCAATATGGAAAACCTCAGAAAAAAGAATGAAACAGAAATACAGAACAAAATGGAAGGCCATCCCAGCAGAATAGAATAAACAGAAGACAGAATCTCAGAACTTGAAGATGAAATGGCAATTAAAGGAAAACTGAAGAACTACTAGTTAAATAACTCAAGACCTGTGAAAAGAAAACGCAAGAACTCACTGACTCCATCAAAAGACCAAACCTGAGAACCATGAACATTGAAGGAGAAGAGGTGCAAGCAAAAGGAATGTGTAATATAGTCAACAAAATAGTAACAGAAAATTTCCCAAATCTAGAGAAAACTGTGCCCATTCAGATACAGGAAGCCTCCAAGACAGCAAACAGACTTGACCAAAATAGAAATACCCCACGACATATTATCATTAAAACAACAAGTATAGAGAATAGAGAAAGAATATTGAAGGCTGTAAGAGAGAAAAAGCAAACAACATACAAAGGTAAACCCATCAAAATCACAGCGGATTTCTCAATGGAAACCTTAAAAGCAACAAGATATGCACCTAACGTCAATGCACCCAATTTCATCAAACATACCCTGAAGGACCTAAAAACACATATGGACTCCAACACAGTGGTAGTGGGAGACCTAATAACCCCCATCACCAATAGATAGTCATCCAAACAAAAAAATCAATAAAGAAAGTCTAGAACTAAATCACACCATAGATCAAATGGACCTAGCTGATGTCTACAGAATATTTCATCTAACTTCTGTACAATATACATTCTTCTCAGCAGCCACTGAACCTTCTCCAAAACTGATAATATCCTAGGGCACAAAGCAAGCCTCAGCAAATATAAGAAAACAGAAATAATCCCATGCATTCTATCTGACCACAGTACATTAAAACTAGAAATCAACAACAAAAACAACAGTAAAAAACATGCAAACAACTGGAAACTGAAGAACATACTGCTCAATGATCAATGAGTCATTGATGAAATAAAAGAGGGAATTAAAAGGTTCCTAGAAGTTAATGAAAATGAAAACACGACCTACCAGAACCTATGGGAGACAGCAAAGGCAGTCCTAAGAGGAAAGTTTATAACCATGAGTGCATATATTAAAAGAACAGAAAGATCTCAAATCAATGACCTAATACTACAGCTAAAACTCCTAGAAAAACAAGAACAAACAAATCCCAAAACAGGCAGTAGGAAAGAAATAATTAAAATAAGGGCTGAAATCAATGAAATAGAAACAACAACAAAAAAAACATACAAAAAAACAATGAAACAAAAAGCTGGTTCTTTGAAAAAATAAATAAGACTGACAGACCCCTGGCAAACCTGACCAAAATGAGGAGAGAAAAAAACCTGTATCAGAAAATCAGAAATGCAAAAGTGGGAAATAACAGCAAACACCACAGAAATCCAGGAAATCATCAGAGACTACTTTTGAGAACCTATACTCTAAAATTATACTCAAATTTTGAGCCTATACTCAAAATTTTGAAGAAATGGACAGATTTCTAGAAACTTACAACCACTCAAAACTGAACCAAGAGGATATTAATCACCTGAATAGATCTATAACACAAAAAGAAATTGAAGCAGCAATCAGGAGTCTCCTAAAAAAAGAAAAGTCCAGGACCTATGGATTCTCTGGTGAATCCTATCAGATCTTTAAAGAAGAACTAATACCAACTCTCCTTAAACTGTTCCACTAAATAGAAAGGGTAGAAACACTGCCTAATGCATTTTATGAAGCCAATACTACTTTTATCCCAAAACCAGACAAAGACACCTCCAAAAACTAGAACTATAGGCCAATTTCCTTAATGAATCTTGATGCAAAAATCCTTAATAAAATAATGGCAATGACATATCAGAAAGATCATTCACCATGACCAAGATGGCTCCATCTCAGAGATGTAGGGGTGGTTCAACATATGCAAATCTATAAGTGTAATACAGCACATCAATAGAAGCAAAGATAAGAACCACTTGATTATCAATAGATGCAGAGAAAGCCTTCGACAAAATCCAACACTACTTTATGATAAAAACTCTAAGAAATCTAGGAATACAAGGAATGTACCTCAACACTGTAAAGGCTATATATGACAAACCTATAGCCAACATCATACTTAATGGTGATAAACTGAAGCCATTCCCCCCAAAATCAAGAACGAGACAAGGGTGCACACTGTCCCCATTCCTATTCAACATAGTACTGGAATTTCTAGCCAGAGCAATTAGGCAAGAAGAAGAAATGAAAGGAAAACAAACAGGTAAAGAAACTGTCAAAATATCCTTATTTGCAGACAATATGATCCTATACCTTAAAGACCCAAAAAACTACCCAAAAACTCTTAAGACACCATAAACATGTACAGCAAGGTGGCCAGATGCAACATTAACTTACAAAAATCATTAGCTTTTCTATACACCAACAACGAACAAACTGAGAAGGAATATATGGAAACAATTCCATTCATAATAGTCTCAAAAAAAAAAATCAAATACCCAGGAGTAAATTTAACAAAGGATGTAAATGACCTCTACAAGAATTACAACCTCCTGAAGAAGGAGATCGAGGAAGACTACAGAAGATGGGAAGATCTCCTGTGCTCATGGATTGTATGAATACACATAATAAAAATAGCTATATTACCAAAAGAAAACTACATGTTATAAAATGCAATTCCCATCACAATCCCAACGACTTTCATCACGGAGATTGAAAAATTTACCCTAAAGTTCATTTGGAAGAACAAGAGACCGCAAATAACCAAGGCAATACTCAGCAAAAAGAGCAATGCTAGAGGTATCACAATACCTGACTTCAAACTATATTACAAAGCAATAGCAATAAAAATAGCATGGTACTGGCACAAAAGCAGACATGAAGACCAGTAGAACAGAACAGAGGATCCGGATATGAATTCACACAAGCATACCCACACCTCATTTTTGACAAAGGGGCCAAAAATATACGATGGAGAAAAGACAGTCTCTTCAACAAATGCTGCTAGGAAAAGTGGTTACCCGTTTGCAAGAAAGTGAAACTAGATCCATGTCTATCACCTTGTACTAGTACCAACTGAAAATGGATCAAGGACCTAAATATCAAACCTGAAACTCTGAAGTTAGTACAGGAAGGAGCAGGAAACACTCTGAAACTAATAGATATAGGCAAAGACTTCCTCAATAGAACCCCAGCAGCCCAGCAACTAAGAGACAGGATGGGCAAATGGTACTTCATAAAATTAAAAAGCTTCTGCACAACAAAGGAAATGGTCTCTAAACTGAAGAGACCACCCACAGAATGGGAGAAAATACTTGCCAGCTACACATCAGACAAAGGACCGATAACCAGAATATACAGGGAACTTAAGAAACTAAACTCTCCTAAAATCAATGAACCAATTAAGAAATGGGCAACTGAACTAAATAGAACTTTCTCAAAAGAAGAAATTCAAATAGTCAAAAAACACATGAAAAAATGCTCACCATCTCTAGCCATAGAGGAAATGCGAATCGAAACCACACTAAGATTCCACCTCACCCCTGTTTGAATAGCTATCATCAAAAACACCACCACCAACATGTGTTGGTGAGGATGTGGAAAAAAGAAACCCTCGTAAACTGTTGTTGGGAATGCAAGCACTCTGGAAAAAAATTTTGAGGCTTCTTAAAAATCCGAACATAGACCTGCCATATGATCCAGCAATCCCAATCCTGGGGATATACCCAAATGAATGAGATACAGGTTACTCCAGAGGCACCTGCACACCCATGTTTATTGCAGCGCTATTCACTACTGACGATTGGATCAAGAAAATGTGGTATTTATACACAATGGAATTTTACTCAGCCATGAAGAATGAAATCTTATCATTTGCAGGTAAATGGATGGAACTGCAGAACATCATTCTGAGTGAAGTTAGCCAGGCTCAGAAGACCGAAAATTGTATTTTCTCCCTTATATGCAGACTTTAGATCTAGGGCAAATGCAGCAATGTAGTTGGACTTGGATCACATGACAAGGGAGAGCACATATGGGAGATATAGGAATAGGTAGAAAACCCAAAACATGAAAGCATTTGATGTCCCCACTCCAGAGGAACTAATACAGAAATCTTAAAGCGAGAGGTTAACATGAGAAGGGGGCCAGTAACCAGTGTAAAGATCAGTTAGAGATGAATCAACATGGGTTGTTAACATGTGTATATGAAAGGAATGCTAGGAATATTTCTGTATAGCTATCCTTAACTCAGCTAGCAAAAACGCTTTGTCTTCCTTATTATGCTTATGTCTTTTCTTCAACAAAATTAGAGATAAGGGCAGAACAGGTTCTGCCTGGAAGTGAAGGGGGGAGGGGTGGAGAAAGTGGGGGAGGGGGCAGGGGGGAGAAATGACCCAAATAGTGTATGCACATGTGAATAAATGAATAATTTAAAAAGAAAGAAAGAAAGAAGAGCTAGGAAAAAAAATGAAAATGAAAATTGTAGAACAAACAAGAAAAAAAGAAACTATGCAAGTAACAGTGATTTCTGAAAAAAGTGAAACATTGCTGAGAGATGACAATATTCTAATAGGCACAGTAATCTAACTTTTGAGATCTGCTTCAAGTAGACTGGGATAAAATAACACAACAAAAATAGCATAACTCAGGAAATTTAGATTGTAACATTTACAATAGCTCAAAGAAAAAAATTTATGGAAGAAATCACCTAAGATATTATAGAGGAGAGCAATGTAATTTTGGTCACCAGCTACCTTAAAAATTTTAACAGATATTGAAGAAAATATAAAAATACTAATTATAGTTTAGTTGTAGTTTCAATTCAATTGCTGTTTTTATAAAATTATCCCAATAATTTGATAATCATCAAAATTAAAAATAATCACTCACAGAAAATTAGCCATTTGTGTACAAAACTCAAGTTGAGGACTTTTCTAAATACATTACCTTGCTAACATGCTGGCAAAATGCAGGAACAGCTATCATCTGACTTACAAAGTTAAGATACGCTGCAACCAGTGCCATGATTCCACAACGATGGAACACTGGCAAGTTGTCCTCATTGATAATTGCACTGTCCTTTAATAAGAAACAAACACATTCAAGAGATCAAGTTGTGATGTTGTATCAGCATTTTATCTATGATCACACTGGAGAACCTCAAGTAATTTAGAATGCTAACAAAATTGTCACCTTATCACTTGTTTTTTTAAGAAAATTCTGAAAGGAGAATAAATGGCCATCTATAGCAGATTTAAAATTTTCAACTTGAATGTCACTTCCTTAGGAAAGCCTCTCCTGTTCATAAACACACACATGCACACAGAGAGAGAGAATATGCTATTATACATTCTTCTTTCATACATAATACAACTCCAATTACACAATGTTAACACAAATTATTATTCAATGATTATGTTCTCCGCTAGACTGGAAGTATAGACAAGGACTGTGGCTTTTCCACAATGTTTTCATGAATGGTATTTAGCACACAATGTTCATTTACTAAAATAATAAATGAATATGAGCATAATCTTGAATACTTTAGGAAATCTACAGCTAAACTCCTAACCAAAATTCATGCTCTTAAATAAATACAACAACTTTTTGGAGATGATGTCTCCTTCATAAAAAAATTTTAGAACATTTTCTTCAGTGAAAGGTTATGGAAACATACCTGTAAAGCAATGGCCAATCGAATGAGGTCAATAACTACCTCTTCATTGGCTAGTTCAATAGTCATAAGAGCAAGAGAAGTATAAATAGCTCATAGTTTTTCTGAACATTGTCTTCCTCTTTACAGCCCAAATATATGTGCCGATACAGCTGCTGCCCATTCTGAAAAGACAAAAAAGATAATTTTGCTTAAAATGTCATAAAGGCAGATTTCATATATAACATTTATAAAGTAGCTGTCTTATTTTATAACATAATGATCAAATGTATTTCATTTATTAACATTAACACATGTGCCAGAATACAACTACAAACAGTGGGCTTGAAGGAAAAAAACCTTAAATTAAAACAGCAAATTCAAAGTTTGTGTAAGCTGGGCACCAGTGACACACACCTGTAATCCTAGCTACTGAGGAGGGAGAGATCAGGAGGATCATGGTTCAAAGCCAGTCTGGGCAAATAATTTGTAAGACCCTATCTTGAAAAAAAGCCTTTCACAAAAAAACAGAACTGGTGGAGTGGCTCAAGGTGAAGGCCCTGACCTCAAGCCCCAGTACCGCCAAAAAAAAAAAAAAAAGTTGTGTAAATAATAAAAATGTCTTAATAATTTGAAAAAAGCAAATAATGGATTGATCTGAGAAAAAATGAAATGGATGGCAGAATTACTGCTGCATCACATCCTTGGCAGTGATGATGGGGATATGCACTATGGCTTTCTTGCTGGGAATAAGCCTTCACTGTGGGTTAGGAGCTGTCCACGGAAAAGAATCTGCAGGTGCTGCAGTTCTCTCACATGGCATCTCCAAAGGTGAGTCTCAAGCCTATTTACAAGAGGTTACACAAACTCCTCAGGGATTGTACAGAGGTTTCCTCTAAACTAGACCTAGCTACGTTAACTAATCTGAGTATTAACCTGGACCTGCTGGATACACTGGGAGAGGATATAAAAGCCCTTCCTATTCACAGCATTCCAAGTGAGAGCTATCAGAAATACGAGGGTGCTTCTATTTCCAGTCACTACGTAGTAATTAACTCCACTTGGAGTATCAGTTCTTAACCCTAACTGTAAGCTATAATGACTGGGAAACTGGAATGGCTGCCATCCTCCTACCCTTTCAGTCCTACCACAGGCCACCTTCCTCTGTTAAGATTTAACTCGCCATTGCCAAGCATCAGTGTTTCTAAAGCATGAAGTCCTCAGGTGATTGTAACATGTGGCCAGGGTTAAGAACACTAGGGGTCGCTCACTACCATATGGAGTGACTCTAACTTAATAAACATTCAGGCCTATTTCTCAGCAGCTTCACATGACTGATCACTTTGAGGAGGAGCTGAGCAAAAACACCAAAGGCTCTTGTGGAGCCAGTATGTCTACAGTTAAGCATGTGCTCTGCTGTGCTTTTTAATACGCACTAAGGTCTTACCTAAGAAGCAAGCTCTGTTGTTCCTCAGTTGTGACAGTGACTGATTAAGTCTAGGTCTGGCACAGTATTCTGGAAGTGCTTTTTTGGTTTTGGATTTTGGGCACCAGATATGAAGATATGCTTTCCTACCAGAGGCCTTTATTTCTGATTTTTTTGGGGGGAGGGATGGGATTGGGGTTTGAACTCAGGGCTTCACACTTGCTAGGCAGGTGCTCTACCACTTGAGCCACACCTCCAGTCCTTTATTTCTAAATATGATATGTAGGCTTCCACTCTTCTGAATCTAGAGTTTTGCCTGTCTTTCTCTCAAATGATTCTATACTTCAGTGGGAAAGAAAAGAGTGTTAGGTCCTCTCAAACCTAAGAACATTCATTCTTGAGTCCTCAGGTTCCTAAATATCATTAATAAACATTAAAGCAATGCTTATATACAAGGGAATTTAGACTTCGGGTTCCTTAAGTAATTCAATTTATCTTTAGAAGTTACCTACTACGTACCTACCATACCAGATAAAAGTAAAACCTGGCAATATATACTTTAATAATGTTGTATAAAGAGGTGTGATGACTTCACAAAGTGGGTTTTCATTATCTAGTGAATTTAAATAATTCATCACATATTACTCAGAATTTCTCCCATATGGGCCTTAGAGAAAAGGGAATTACACTGAGTAATGCATGTACAAGCGTGTTTACAGTAGCACAGTTTATAACACCTAACTGGAAACAATTCAAATATATGCTAACCAAAGAATAACTTGTGTTATATTCATATCATGAATACTATTATAGCTACACATGGTTGAATTTTACCAAAATATCTTTACCATTTTTTTTTTAGATCTTTTTAGAAATTTCTGTAAGTTGCCAACTAAGGTTTCATAAGAAAGCCAAACTCTATACTGATAGAATAAACTGGAAGGTAAATTAAAAAGGGTGCCAAGTTGTCAAAATAAAATTTTGATAAGGAAATGTAAACAGTCTGCTCATAAAGAAAAAAGACCCTATTAGAAATAGTTTACACGAATGCTATCAAATGGTAGCGAGGTAAGTGCATTTTAAATTATAAAGCAGAGGGATGAGTAAATTAAAGAGCTGTTTAAGGATCCAAACTCAAACATCAGTAATCGTCTAATCATTCAATTAAACCACAGCCTTCCAAATTGGCTGGGTAGCAATATTAAGCAGAGAGAAATATTACTTTTATCACTGCCATAACAGAAAAAATGAAATCCAGTCTTGATGCCCAAGACTGAGACAATCATAGAAAATTAAAAATTTCAAAATTAGTTATCAATTGACTTCAAAATTCATTATATTAGTTATGATGAAGATTCTCTTCTTCTATTAACTGGGTAATATAAAGAAAAACTCAAAAAAAAATTAAAAAATAACAAAACAGAAAGTTGAAAAAAGTTAATGACTCTGTCCTATTTCCAGTTTTTAAATATACAGTACAACCAAATTTCAGTAATTAATTTTACAAGAATCCAGACCAATTTAAGAACAGTGATATTTTCTAAATTAGTTTTCAAATGAAGTTTTTAAACTGTGAAGATATTAAACTGAAGCACAGCTGTCAACAGTCTGACAGGGACAGCAACATTAAAGATGGTGACAGGGAGAAAGAACAGTGCAAGAAAGAGGCAAACAACAGCACAGATTAGATCAGTCCCTGACTGATCTTCCTATGTGCCTACTATCTTCTCACGTCTAAAACCTAGGCTCCCATATCACCAAGACCGTAAGCGTCTTTGGAGAAATTAGCATGAGTGTCAAGGTTACTGTATCTCTCCTCTCAACATCCAGCTGAGTGACTGGCAAATACTAGGTGCTCAAGCTTTGGGTAACTATATAGCAAGCTCACTCAATATGCTACTCAATTTTAGATACTGCGATTTTTCAAATTCAGCCATATGCCAATAGACCTACAGGATTTATATTACCATCAGGGAAATCTAGCTAAATAATGCTTGTTAAGGGAAGAGATCCTGTCTAAATCATTTTTATTATCCCAAATAGTGTATAGAACAATGCTTAATAAACACCAGACACTCATTAGACTTAGTTACTCCACAGTGATAGTTATTTTAAAAAACTTGAAACTACCTATAGAAGAGTCACTAAAAGTAGAATCAATGTATGTTTGAGTGGGGAAGGAGAGCACAGCAAGAAGTATAAGGAGACATTTCACTCAAAAGCAGAAATTCAGAACTTCTGCAGCAGCCCACCAATCCAATGTTTAAATGCAGGCTGGCAGAGTATACATTGGGCATGCTGTGATAATGAAATGGGGGCTGAAGTTGACAGCAGGAGGTCTTTCAATTCCAAAATCTATGAATTTGTTTTAAGGACACAGATCAATATAACACATGCTTACAATTCAAAGGGCTATAACTTACATAATGCATTCATTTTTTAGAAGGTATCTTACCTTTTTCATGAAACTTGTGTCTTGTCTACAAATTTTTTCTCTTTTTATCTTGAGGTCAGCTACATCTGGTATTATTCTAGAGATATATTTATTAATGTATCATTTTTAATGAACAGCACATTTGGTTATAACATCTTGTCTTTCATGGAAATTACATATATACTTACTATTTATTGGACTATTTAACACTCATTTCCATGAACATTTTAAATATGCCTATATGAAATGATATAGGCAATTACCAAGTTTAGTCAAGAACTGCATAATCTTGACTCCTAGTGCTATTCTTAAATTAGAGTAAAGCTAAACTAAAACAAGGATTAAAATCTATGTAACTGATTACTAGGAGATAAGCTCTCTGAAGAGCACATTAAGTTATATTCTAACACTTGTTACCTTAAAATACATTAGTAAACTGTCTGAACAACAATGAAATAAAAGCTGAAAACCCAAGATCTAAAAACAATCACAATACAGAAGACCATTGGTATTCACGGGTATGTGGTTCCAAGGAGACCACCACTAAGGAAAAACCATGAATGCTCAGGACGCAAAGTTCAGTACTGCTCTGGGAATGCTTGGTTATTTTTTCCCTGTGCTATCCAACTTCTCCCAATGACATTCCACCTTTCAAAAAATCTAAAATTTTCACTTTATCACTTAAATTAAGCACATTACAGGCCCTTTTTGGCATGGGAGAATTACCGTAACTTTTACCTTGCTTTTTTGGGTACCTTTTGCTTTCTTGGAGGTATATTTTCACAAAATTAAGGGTAGAGGAATACTCAGTAGAATACAACAATATACAGAAAACTGACAATAAAGAAGGACTAACAGCTCTCCACATCAACTGATCTGAGCAATGCGTGCAGGCATTTAAAATTTTTGTTTTTGAAATTTCTTTTGATTTTTATTTGTTTATTTGACCATACTTGGTCAAAAACGTGTGATAAATCTGTGAATAAGGCAGGCTTACTATACTTCTACACTAATTTAGAAAAGTAAAAACATTCTCATCAAGCCCATCTCAACATGACATAGTACCTGATCCCTCGAAGCTTTGCCCTGTTGTCATGGCGGTCCATGAGATTGTGCATCACTTCCAAGACTAACTGCCTCAGTTCATAATCTTCCATAAGAGATGAGGATAACAGAGGATCCAGGAAAGATGCTGGCAGTGCAGTTACAATTGTCTTGGCTTTGTATCCAGAGGTTACCTGATTACAGGGAGGAAAACATGAGTCCTTCCTGGGTAAAATTCTTACATTATTTTATAAGACCATTACTTTAGGGAAACACGAAGTATGGACATAAGCCTGAAGAAAACATATAAAGGAAATTTGTGAGGTGATGAAAGATTTTACGGAATTTGCAAAAACATCACTCATAACAAGAACAAAACTGACAAGAGCTCACGTGTACTATGTGCTTCTATGTATTAGGCACAAGTCTAAGTGCTGTGTATCTATGAAGTTTGCCCTCACCATGTTCCTGTGAGGTAGGCACTAATACACTCCCATTTTATAAAAGGAAACTGGGGCCCAGACAGGGTAAGAATACATGAGATAAGCAGTCAGTGGAAAACAGATATAGGGAGATCAGAGGAAAATAGTGGTTGGTCCTGCAAATTATAAATTGAAATTTGCAAAATTTTTTTTTAAATCATGCAGTTGGTTAATAGGAATATATTTTCATTTTGGAAAACCATACTTTTATTACTTACTTGATATGACATTCATGAGTACATCAGGATCTTCTAAGTTTAAAGCTTTAAGGAGAATATACTTAAATGCTAACACTTTAAAACCACACCATATAGATATTTATACTGCTGACTGTGGTACAATTAGGATGAGGTGCATAATTAACTTACTTACGGAATTTGTTTCATCTAAATAAAGACTTAGAAACAAATGACATTTCAGGTGGGTAATTTCAACTTGTTTTCAGGATTATAAGCATATTTGGGCACTTATGGGATGGAGGTAATTCTGTAGATCAGAAGGGAAATCGCTGGGACACTGTTATAACCAATTTGGAAAATTAAAAATAATCTACACCTCCCACCACATAGAAAAGTAACCTCATATTAAAGTACTAAATGTGGGAGGTCCAATTTTAGAAATTTTTGTAAGGAAATATAAACAACTGTGTTTATAAGCAAGGAGTTCTTAAACAAGACCCAAATGAAAAGAGACAAAATACGTGGGAAAGAACTGACAAATCCAGTAACAGAATTTAAAACTGCTACATGACAAGTATCACAAACAGAATTAAAAATGAAACCACAGAAGATACTTCTGTACTTACACTTAAATATGAGATATTTCTTTTTAAAAAATGGGATCAGATACAGTATCTCTTGGATAAATTTGAAAGCTGTTGATTTGGAAAGGGCCAAACAACCAGCCTCTCCTTTTTCACTGACATTCTGTTAGGCACAGGTCAATCAAAAATGAGCAAAATTACTATAAAATAACCAGAGGACCTCTGATTTTGGGTATGCCTTTTATTTTTAGCTATCTAGAGCCACTCCAAATTAAAATGGAAAATTTTCATTTTTACAAATTATTTTCCAACAAGAACCCATCATTTGGATAGTATGTAAAAGATGTAACATAATATGAAGAAAACTTCAGATTTCCGAGTGTGAGTTCTACTTTTTAGCTCAGTGATCTTAGTGAACCTCCTTAACTCTTGAACATCTCTAAGCTCAGGTATCTCTATCTATAAAATGCCCTCTGTACATTTCATCAAAATGAAGATCAAAATGACAGGAGAGGCAAGGAACAAATAGTAAACAGTATAGGATAACCAGAAAATGAAGGGCATAATATCTAAGTACACAAATCACTGAAACAACTAACCAAAGTTTCTTACTAAATAAAAAAACAAAGCTGATATTATAAAGCTATTCTTTTAATCTTTTCAAAAATTTAAGGTTAAACGTGTCCTTTTCCTGCATTAAACTCCTTACCATAAGCAAAGATCTCAGCAACATTATCTGAATCCGCCTGGTTCCCAGATCCCTAAAATGTACAAAACGGTATTATTAGTAGTAATTACATTTACATTACTTTGTTTACTCACAATACTTCTTTACTTATGTTAAAAGATTTTCTTGTTGGCTAAATATGTTTTATTTTTACAACAGCTGAAGTTATGGTTCACTTTATACACAAAGGTAAATTTCACATGAATTAAAAGTTACATGTAATAAATCAAATTTAAACAAAAAATTCAGGTTGTTGGCTCTCAAAGGAAACGGACTTATAAAGTCACAACATGAAAAGTAAATCATATGAATATGCAACTAAGAGACACAAACTAGTATTGAAATATCACATTACACATCTCTTAACTAGGTACAATTACCAGTTGCTAGTCAAAAATCTTTTTTTTTAACATTTAAGGAGAAGGAAATGTTAACTACTTTGATATTATACACTGTACACATGTATCAAATTATCACACTATACCCCATATACATAATTACAATAATGGTTTTCAAAAGAAAATTTTAATCCCTTATTTATTTTACCTTACTATTACTAATAATTAATAATCCATATATTTTAATCATCAGCCCTAAGAAAAACCCATTCACTATATTTACAGTAAATAGTTTCTCCACCTTAAAGTGTTTTTGAAAAATTGTTTTAATTGTGTATATTTACGGATTATAGGATAATTCAACACACATACACTGTATAATGATCAAATCAGGCTACTCAGCATTGCCATCTCTTTAAATGTTCTAGAAAATTATATATATTTATGAGGTACATTGTGGTCAATTTCTTGTTAAATTAGCAAGACAAAAATATTCACAAACTAAAACTTAAATGTTATCAAATCAAATCTATAAAATAAAGAGGACAAAACACGATCTTTAAAAATCACTTTTGGTTCTAGAATTCCATGAATAAATCAACATTCCTGATATATTAAAATTTAATTTTTAACATTTTGCAAGAAACCTGAAGATCTACCCTATTTAAACATGCATGTACACAATGCCCGGGCTAAAAGCCTTCCAGTTGGTAAATTAAAAAATAACAATTTTGAGAATTTATGTTAAGCTAAAAAGTGATTCTAAAGGCTTGTACACAGAAATATTGTTTTCCAAAGGACTTTTATTACTAAGATTTAAAAAAAACTAACATTTTCTAGGTTCAGTATTAAATTTAAACCAAGATTAAGTTTGAATTTATAGCTGAGAACATACCCTAGTTGACTGATATCCAAAGTATGAGTAGATGTTCCAAAAACAGGTACTTTCCCCATAATGAACATCATGATTTCTGACCTCTGATAATCTGGTAGGTTACTTCCAAAAAATCCTATGAAAATATTAAAATGAATTTTAAAAATTGAAAAAGCTTATTTTTCAATATAACACAAAATCATAATAATATTTCTAAATAATATTTTCAATATGTTGTAAAATATTGACTCTAAAGATATAATTACATCTGTACAAAATCACACAGAAGATGTGTATAAATAGGTGAATATTTAGTTAAACTTTTGGTAGCAGTTTTTATGAAACTCTTGTTTGCATATTGTGAACCTAAATTTTTATTCATTAAGTCAGTAATTATGCTCCATTTTGTCTGGTGAAGTCAACAGGTTTCCCAGGATTATTTAACTGTTTTAGAAGGTCATTATAATTACACAGCTTAACCTTGTGAGTTAATTCTACACTCGTAATTACACACACACACACAGAGTGCTGGAGATGCAGCTCAGTGGCACTGTACATGCATAATGTGCAAGAGTCCCTGAGTTTGATTTCCCAGCACTGCAAAAATACATAAATAATGATTAAAATAACAATAAATTGGTATTTAACTTATCTGTCCTTTTTCTTATGCACACTTGGGTTTTGAGGATATCTTAAATATATCTCCTATAGCTTTTGATAGTTTACTTCCTGGTCATAAAAGCTTTATAAACTTTATCATTTACTCATACTTTAAACTTTGAAGATCAGGATGGCAAATCATTTATTCCTTTCTTAAAATTCAATTTAATTTTTACAAAAACTTTCTGCATTGAAATATTTCTTTACAAATAATTTTTTCAATCGAACCCCTTGCTTCTATTATTGAAATTAACTATTTACATAGTACAAAAATATTCTATTTATCACTGTGATTGAACCTAGGGGTAAGTCTCCCCAAACTGCTACATACTGTAGCAATAAAAAAATCTCATCTTAATATTACTCCATCTGCACAGTAACATTCATTTTCATATTATTCTAGGTAACAGATAAGGAGCACGTATTTATGATGTAGACACTACTTTGTTTTTGAATCTTTACAATAACCTTACAAGACTTGATTCTATTATTTGTCTCAGTTTCCTCTTGTGGAAATGAAAGTAAAAGAGGTTAAGAATTCACAAAAGAAGTAACACAGCTAATACTAAGGTCTGAGGTAAGCTATTTATTTTCAAAGCTTGTGCTATTATTACACTTAAGCTACTTTCAACTTTCTAAGCACCAAACTGGACATACTCCTAATTACTGTTACAAACAAGTCAGTTATTACCATAAAGACATGAAGTATATACTTCTATCACAGCACCTAACAGAAAACTGATGGATTATAGTGCTGCTAAAAGCTTAAAAAACATAAACCATCATGCCTACCTATATTTAATAATACTTCTACCAATAATTTTTGGCCATACTTCATGTTATTCAAGCATATGGAATCCTTTAATCCAGTGGTTCCCAAGTTTTGCTGCATTGTGACACTCACTACCTGGGGAGCTTTTAAAATGCTGATGTTCAGGCTGTGCATTAAGCAGAACATCTGTGCATGGAGTCTGAGTCCAGGCATCAGTATAAGATCCTGAGATAATTTCAATGTGCAGCAAAGTTTAAGAACCAGTGTCTTGAGGAAAAGACTTATTTTTCTCTTCTAAGTATATGGTCCAGAATATCTATGTTAATTAGATACAGTAAGACTTTTTAAGAACTGAAACTATTTCATGCTTCATAATTTCTTTTTAAACTTAAAACTGGACAAGAATCTTGAACATGACCATCTATAGTGACAGTCTTCAAAAGTACCTCATCTCTATACCCACTACATTTGTATAGGACAGAAATGTCAATGGGTCCAGAAGAGAGAACACTGTAGGGAGTTATGTTCTTGATTATTATAAAAGAAAAGACTCAGCCAACAGCCTTAAAAGGTACTGTGAAAAGCTATGGAAGTCCTGCTCACAGCCCACCACCAGGAAATGATCAGGTAGCTAGCAGATACTGAGAAATTCTAAAAGAAAATAAGACAGAGATCAGAGGTGTGATTTAAAAAAAAAGGAAATCTTACTCATACAGTGCCACACTGCATTTTTCTCTGTTTTAATTCTCATGTTTTTCTAAATGTGTTAAATCAGAGAAATATTTCTTGAGTCTACTGAATAGGCATTTTATAATAAAATGCTTGAGAAACAACAAATTAAAACATTCTAGAGTAAAACATGAATGCTGAATTAATTACAAGTCACTAAAGCAACTGAAATTAATTTTGTGAAAATAAGATTAACTGACTTGGCGTAAGAGTCACCACAGAAGCTGATACTCACTGTTTTAAGAAATAACTAGAATGTCTCTGCTTTAACTGGGACTCCATGGTAATGTTGGACTTTACCTATTGTGTGTTACATAGTTGAATAACACACTCCTGGGCCTTCCCCATGGGACAACGGCTATACATGTGATGAGACTCCAACCAGGTAAAAATGAGGTACCTCAATTACCTCCACAAGATGATGGCCATGTGTATCACAAAGCTTGGCATGGGGCTGGTGGTCTGGTGTATGTACATGTTCAGTAAATAGGTGCTGAATGCAGATGCTAATGCATATATGCAGAGACAAATTTTTAGATGCAAGATGACGAGAAACTTTGTATTAAGTATTTTAATAGACCATTATAAATAATTAGCTTACAAGAGGGAATTACCCAGATAAAAAGTCTGAGTTGGGCTCAAATTAGGAACTAAACCCCAGGAACATATTTTGATTCTGCAATGATCATAGCAATCACGTAGTTACATTAAAATATGATCTGGCTAGTTTGAAGAAAACACTGGAATGGAATGGTTAAACTGGATAGCGTATTTGTATTTATATATAGTCAGTTCACCTCATTTCAAAAAAAAAAAAAAGAAATTATCATGTTCTTTTTTTTTTTAAGAAAGCTCTTTTTACCCTTTATACATTAACTAGTGGGGTGATGGTGGGAAAGGAGTAAGTAAGCATATGATAATAGAGACCAAAATCAGCAACTGCATCTTGGTCTCTTATATCACTCCCCACTAAAAGAAAGCATGGCTCCTTGAAGAAATAACTGATTCTACATCTAAGCAGGAAAATAAAAATAGCCTGAAATAGCTTACCAGGTAACACAGTACACA